CTTTGATGAACCCCAAAAATTTTTCAAAATTTGCACGTCAATTTCCCATCCATTTGTTGGCTACTGTCTCCAAATTTTACCCCATGATAAACGTGGGTAAATTGGAAAATGAATTGCGATGTATATACACCAATCAAACTTTTTTGAACATCACATCAACTTGCGCGCTCTATGGGTTCCTCATAGATAACACTCTGGTAACTACCTTTGCGGCGTCTGCAAAATTTCTGGACATCATTTTGACGACGCCTATTTCTTCCGCCGACGCAGAGCGAACATTCAGCACGCTGAAGCGTATTAAAACGTATCTCAGAAACACAATGAAGCAAGATAGATTAAATTTCTTGGCTGTTTTATCCATTCACAGAGACGTTATTTCTGGGATGCATGACTTTAATCAGCGCGTTATTGAGCATTTTGCTTCCAAGAAACCGCGGCGTGTTGCATATATGTGCAAGCAGTAGAAGTCTAGCAGCATATATATCTATGAGTGAGCGACGCATGTCCTTATCTTTGCATTACCTTTCCTTTCTTCATAGTAACGTTTTAAACCTTATTTTAGGTTTTGTCTGCTTTCCCGAAGTTTCTGTTAATATGTCATTGTATTTATCTGGGTAAATATTGCCTTTCCTTTTGAAAGAGGTTTCAAAATAAACTATGTCTATATTTATTAATCCCTTGACTTGGACCGGTTTTAAAGACACTTTCTTATCGTTAAAAATTGTCGCTTTTGCCGATTGGTTGTTACCGATGGAATGGTTTTTATACTCATAAAATGATGGGAGAACTTACAGCGCTCATCCTGTCCCCGTAGATGGGGGTGACTTGGTCCCGCAGTAGCTTGCCCCGGTTGTCAAAATGACCACGCGCCGCCACTGCTGTTGGGTGCTGTTTTTTAGTCATATGGTTTGTGGTTAGATTGTTGAGGTTTTATTACGGCCTTGTCCGTTTTTGTGTCACCTCTCTGCGGACCGGCAGTAACCTTTTCGCGGACCGGCGATGGGCCGCGGCCCGGTGGTTGCCGACCACTGACTTAATCGATACAAGATGCTGCGATGTGTTGGGTGAAGTGTCAGAAAAGACAATAAATAAATCCTTTGCATCTCTTGGGATGGGCCGGGATTCGAATCGGGACTCGGATTCGAGTCAAATCTACGCATTTTTTGGACTCTGATTAGATTTTGAGTCTACGTCATTTTTACCGAATCTATAATCAATTCTGTTTTTTTTTCTAATTTACGCCAATGTTTGTACTTTAATCTTTATAAATCTCAATAGATGTACCCTAACTGGTTAAAATTCAAGGTTAGATCTGTAACAATATACCTTTTGTGTATTATAAACACTCCTAATAACAAGAGAGCTATGCTCAAATATATGGACACGTAGCGCCACCTAATGGCAATAATTTTGATGACGTCATAGCAAAAAAAGTAGTAGCCTTTTATGAAAATTTTTTATCTTTAATCACTGAAAATTTCAAAGCAATTGGTCCAGTAATCAAAGAGAAAAGCGATTTTACCAAAACGTATCAAATAACAACAAAACGATCGTTATTTTGAAATAATCAGTGATTGAAGATTGTTGTTGTCCTAAATTTTGATATTATATCCAATCTGATAATTTAACTAAAATTCCGCTGTTTTATTTTTTATTCATAGGTACACGTTTTATGACTGTGTGATGGCTGTCTTTCGTTTTGATTTTGCAAACTCGCGCTAGGTGAATTTATTTGATACCAGTAATGCACTAGGCCAGTGTTTCCCAACCCGAGTCCGCGGTCTCCAATAAGTCCGCGGAGCGGTTGAATGAGTCCGCAACGAGCCAGAAATTCACTGCGGGCCGCAAACGTTTTTGCGAAACTTAACTATCAGCCAAGTTACGATTCACGTTAGAATTTACACAAAACATAAAGGGCAAGTTTATTCACATAACCTTAATCGAGTCAATAATTAATTGTTACTGAGGAGTGCTGGGCATATATTCGAATATTCTACTATTAGAATAGCAATTACTATTCGAAAATTGGTAACAAGTGGCGCGACAGGTCACTTGCGCGTTGCTTAATCAAACGATTGGATTTCACAACTCACTTGGCGGATTTCCGACGAAAACACGAGTCTGCACTCGCTTCGATAGATACCTAAGTGGTGTTTCCCGCGAGTTCAAACAACAAAAATAGTTTTTTTTTTCCTGGTAGGTGTCAACCGAAATTTTCTAACTTGAAAAGTGGCAATAATACAAAATACAGAAAATAAAACGGAGAATAGCATAAGTTTTGTTTTATCATTGCCAGCGGCCGATTAAAAACACTTTTTAGACATTGCAAATCGAAAAATTTTGGGTGCCACCGAAGTATACGTACCAGGGCATTTTCCCTTAGGATTCGTTGCATTACCGCTATCACATTGGTACGTACAATGCTGGGGTGCCGTAAGTGTACGAACAACTCAGATTTGTCGAATTCAAAAAAATACGAATCAAAACAAAATGTAATTGCATTTTTGTATCCACGGTTTGTCATGATATTTTCTGAGTAGTATTGCTTTTATTTCGTCAACACAACGCAGATTAAACTGATCACAATTAAATTAATAATAATAAAGGCGATGACAGTATTTTTAATTTACTAATATTATATATAACTTTAAATATATTTTTAATAAGTACTAAATCAAGTTGTACTTTCTGGAAATTTTTAGCAGATAGTAGGATTTTTCTCGAGGCAATAACAAATTGTATCAAAACTAAACATAATCGGACGATTGCCGCAGATTGTCGTATTATTTTAAAGAAGTAATGCTTTAATCTTCCGTAAGTCGACGCAGCCGCGAGTTACCATGAACACAATTAAATTAAACTAGAAAGACATTTTAAATTCTCGTCGTTGTCATGGACTGAATATTGTGCGACAGCATAGGCCATTATACACTAAAAAGTCAGCTTTCTTAACGAATGCGTAATTCCAGCGAATTTCCTATTTTGAAAATCGTTGAAATTCCGTTGTGTTTGGTTTTATTGGTTCTTTGCACAGAGTACGGTTGCAATAAACGTACCTTGAGTCCACAAAAGTTTTCGCCGGTGAGAAAATAGTCCGCGAACAAAAAAGGTTGGGAAACGCTGCACTAGGCTAATTCGGCGAGTTATTGTGAAAGGAAAAGCACTGGAGAACGGGAGTTTTTTGTTGAGCTGAAAGTAGGCCAGCGGAAAAGTCAAGATTTGTTTCGCCTTCCGTGTCCATATATTTGGGCATTACTGATTTGTTCTTAGGGGATGGGTTGGAATTCATTTTTACATGGAATTTTGCCTTAAATACACACATATAAAATTTCGAGTTATCCTTCTTGCGCCCAAGGACTTCAAAATGTTTTTAAGAATGTTAAATTTATAGCGGTCTTTATCCGAGGGATTGCAATGTAGATGTCCGACGTTAAAACAGGGTCGTTTGCGTAGGCTACTGCATATTGGATATAGTTTACTGCTCGTATAGTGCCTCGTAAGACACAAATGCCCTCCAATTGGTTGAACAGGTGGCATTTTTTTTTTCTGAAAATGATAATAATACAAAATCTGACCTGTCAGGGTAAATCGTTGCGACTTTCGGTGTTGAGCTGCCGTGGGGAAGCCAGTACACTAAAAGGTATGGGTAAGATGCTCCCAAGATAAAGACAATTTGTGATGCAATAACGTTGTTGCCACGTGATGCTTTATTTTGAACGCTCATCATTCAGGCGTATTCGGTAATTCCAAAATAGAAAAGTCAGAGCTCTTATATGATACCTTAGTAGGGGAAAAGGTGACATTTACAAATCCCACAGAGTATAATTATATGTGAGAAGATGCTAGAAGACTTCACTTCATCTTTGGGTGGTTGAACGGTCACAGTCGGTCGGTCGCGACTTCCTTCCACGTCCAAGACTGTGCATCAGAACCAATTATTAATATGGTTTTTCCAATACTAGATCTTGGTTGATCCAGTTCTTTATAAAATGGTGAACCATCAGTTTAGTTATTTTGTTTCCTCCATATTCTACAAAAAAAAGTATGTAACGTAGCCTATTTCGAATATTTAGAAATCCCTATCGAATTTAATTGTAAATTGAAATCCGAGTGACAAAACTGATGACATTGTTTTCAGTACGGCGGGAACTAATGTGAATTTTAAAGGTTCGACTTAATCTTGAACATATTCCTATTTATCAAACACATTCCGGGTAACTTTGTATTAAATTTAATTCATTATGTCGAAGTCAGAACTTAACATAGTGTTCATCTTGTGGTACAAAGGGGCGGCTCGAAAATGTGGTGTCCCGTTGGGGGATTTTACTTTGTATTGGTTGCTGCATTACTAATAATAGTAATTACTAATCTCATTATTGGACACGTAGTGGACATAACGATCGTTTTAATATTATGTTGTTCTTGATCTTGTTGTTATTTGATACAGAATAACACACCTAGTGGAAATATTAAAAAACCGCTTTTCTCTTCGAATACTGGACCAATTGCTTTGAAATTTTCAGTGGTTGAAGATAAAATTTTTCCCCAGAAGGCTATTACTTTTATTCATTTTAAACATACCTGTTAGCTCTGTTTGCTATGACGTCATTAAACGTTCTGCGGGTATCGGACGCCATTTTGTGTCCTACTGTACTGCTTCGCTTGGTGTGAATATATTTGTAGACTGTGATCTGACGGTACGGTACACCGTACTGTACTGCGAACAGACGTGTCCATATATTTGGGCGTAGCTCTCTTGTTATTACTATAATATTGCACACATTATAAACTACTTGAACTGTGCAAAAGCGGGAATCCACTTGCACATAACATTACCTAAGGATCCACCATAGATCAAACAATTAAAGTAGTTTTTGTGCATAATGAAAGAGAGAATTTAATGAAACGGTTAAGAACCACTGCTGTAGATAGCCTAGTACTCAAATGTAAACACCATCCACCTTATATAAAAACAGCATTATTGTACACAATACCCCAAATATTTTCTCTCTTGTGTATTTGAAATTTTAAAGCAAAAATAATAACATGATAGTAAACTGGTACGACAAATCAAAAATAACAGCTAGCAAAAAGTACGCATCATGATTCAAAAAACTGGACAGACACATGGCAACAAAATTAAAATATCCCAGCAAACACTAAACCGGTAAAACCTCATATTACTAAGTTATAATTCCAACTGCAGAAGATATTAACTTGGGCTACACATTGCATCTTAAAAAATGAAATATATTATGCTCCGTGTAACAGTGATAGTAATTATATGCGGCTGGTATGCAATACATGGCGTAAATTCAATAAAGCGAACAGCGTCTGCAATGAAACAGTATGGCAAATATCTTTTTTTTTGGTGCGAGTACATAGTCAGGACAGCAGTTTTGACAAAACCCAAAAATCTGAATAGATGATAAAAGAAGCACTTATTATAATTACTAAATGTGCAAAAAACCGAAGTATGCACAATAATAATATCAAAAAATGTTTTTATTTGATAAAATATTGAGACAAAGAAAAAAAAATCTCTTGAGTAGTAGAAAAAATGTAAACGCAAGCAGAACTGAGTAAATGAAAAATTCATCAATAAATAAAACAAATTAAATGTAAACAACTATCTCATCTCACATTTATTTAATTTATACCCCAAAATAAAAGAAAAAACTAATTTCATTGGCTAGAACCAACAGGTTGATAGGTTTGGTATTTGCCCAACGTCATGACAAACGATGTTTAAAAAACGAATAAAAACACTAGGCAATAGGGCAAAAAATAAAACAGTTTTTCAAAAGTAGTCGTTTTTTGTCCTCGAAATTTTATGCAAGAGTACAGTGTAACAGAGAATTGTTATAAAAAGCATGAGAAAATGATTATTTCATGGATCCTGGCAAAACATTGAAATTTAACATACCAAAGAATCAGAGGGATAAGCTTAATTATTATTTAATTATTTAAGGTTAATAATTATCCTAATTTACATTAAGATGATCAAATATAGAGCAAATCATAATTAGATATATTTGTAAAAATGTTCTCTTATAATAAAATTGTATGGTAAACCATGCATTGCAGAAAAATGATATGTCAAACTTTAATGGCAAAAGCGTTTTTCCACAAAATGAACTATATTTTTAATCTTAAAATTTGAATATGGTTGAGATAATAAAACTCTGTGTGAAATCCCTACACTGAGCAAGCAAGCGATTTTGTTAGTTGCTGTGTAAGTAAGGTACAGAAGACTATATACTACCATAGATCTTGTTTGAACTAGATATATTTTCCAATGAAAAACTAACACTGAATTTGTGAATGGATTCTGGTCGTTTACAAAATAATTGAAAGAAAGGGGCGTTTGAAGCAATATGCAGCTAATGAAGTGTTGGCGTTAGGGTAAGAAGCAGGACTGGGCATTTTCAAGTACCTGAAAATTTTTCGAATCGAATTGAATATTTTTTTGAATCTTGAATATTTGAAATATGTTCAAACGTATGTGACTTATTCATTGTGATGGGTCCAAGTACATAAATTACTGGAAACATCCTTCAGACAGTTTGCTGAGCATTCGCACACAACAAGAAACATGTTTCATCAATACCTCACAAAATGGAAAAGAGTCGTATGTCAAAAAACAGTATAGCGGCGATTCGAAATTTCTGTCGGAGACGAGTCGAATATTACACTATTCGATTCAAATGCCCAGCCTTAAACTAAGAAGCACAGCAGATTAATGTGTGTCGCATTGGAAATCTATCCACCTATCGAATAAATATATATCCGAATTTAAATGCAATTTCACGATCCCGATTATACTGATTGCAAATAAAATGGAATTTGTAATTAAATCGCCATTAGAAATATAATTTTCACAACAAATCAATTACTGAAGCAATAAAATTTTATCTGGATAATAGCAAATAACTGATTGATACTACAACTGTGTTTTCAACACAGAAACGGGCAAGTAATTATAAGAATATCAGAATTTTGAAAAGCTTCTTAATACAAATTAATTATTATTTTATATTAATGTATCACCCTGTCTATAAAATTAACACTTGATATCAAGTGAAGACTTCCTTAGAAATTAAGACGTGTACAGAAGTACAGTCCGGTATAAGTATTCTAATATTTTCCACAAAAATCTTTTTTAAATACCCCTCAAATAATCGTTAAAAAGTCTAAAAATCTAGCATTAAGGCATTCAGACGATATGTCACAGGGTTCAATGTTTCAATTTCTTCATAGCTGTGAAGTGTCGTCACCAGAACGGCAACACTGAATGGCAAGAGGCATAATTGCGCTGAAAAGCTAATCTCTCGAAGGCTTGAAAAACTTGTCAAAGGATCATCAAATGAAAAAATTTTTGATTGAGGCTGATCGTTCCTGAACCAAGGATAATAAAAACTATCCGGTACGCAGAATAATATTGCGGCCCAAGTTGAATAATGCTGAACTATGCAATACCAGGCACAGCTCGAGGCACATAAAGTTAGTTGCAACATTCTTCCAATTGTTCAATTCAAGACAAAATTATCTTTTACACTATGAATTTGGTTGCATGGATACTCGTATGGCCTTCGGTGTTGTGTCATCGTTAAGATGCTTAGTTGTATAACGTAATGCGTTGAGAAGATTATCAATCATGGGTCCTTGATGTTGTTCTTTCAATACTCTGATGACACCTTTGATCTGTTAAAATTGAATAGAATAATAATAATTATTTTGCATTTGACGTAAATTCAATATTGACATTTATAGTCATTAGACAACTGAGTCGGTTTTAAAATGAGAAAAATTCAAAAACAAGTGGGAGGATATCATGTTTGCATCAATCCTAAACAATGATTCATTGCAGTTGTACAATCAATAGAACTGCGAAAAAAAAACATTTTCCGGCAAGAATATGGAGGTGGATTTTCAATTGAAACATAAACACAAAATAGTATGATATTCAAATCAATAAAATATTTCAATTGTGTAGTTCAATCTCCCACATATTCCTACAGATTTTAAAATTGAAATCTCAAAACTAATTCATAATTTCAGTCCCAAATATAAATATGAAATGATTATTAAAATATAACCTTAGACACCAATACCCAGTGTGTAAATAGCTGTTGTTGTAACACAATGGTGTCAGAGGTGGGGAACCAGACGTTTTTTGTTGTTTACGTTATGCGGGTGAAATAGCAAAAAAAAAGATAGGGCTTAAAAATTTCAACTTTGGAGATCAAAAAGATGATGACTCAAAAACGTTGGTTGCTCAAGTTAGTCTTTTCTCAAATTTCAAACTGCATTCAAATGCAAAAGAAAATTGTTCGTCCATTGTTTTACAGAAATAAAGATACCATATATGACTCAGTGTCATATTAAGATTGACCTGAACGAATGTTGATAATTTTAGGAGTAGCGATGCGATGGAATATTCTTTTCCAAAAATTTATCACTCATGAAATTCAAACACAACCTGATTTCATATTGATAAAATATGCAAACTTTCTTCCTATCTTTGGCGTTTCCATGAACTTGAGTGAGTCACATTTTATTAGTATATTATGAATAAGTAGTCGTTCACACAAATATTCAGCTTAAAACTCCATGGCATTAAAACCAGAATTATATCATGCACATAAGCAGGAATCATCTCAAAAGCGCTATCATATAGAAATACACTGAAATGAACGACATCTGTGACATGTGTTTTCGATGAAGTGTACTGGAATCTAAGGTGAACCCTTGGAACAGTTCCATCGAACCACAGGGGTTTGACAGGACCCAGGTTAAGAAACATGCAGGTGCAATTGTCTTGGGTTCAAATGTACATGTGTTCAAATGTAATGGAACTGAATTGTATAAAATGGATAAAAACATATTATAATTGTAGCTTTATTTTTAAAAGTTACTGCCTAAGTAATTTCAGTAAAATATTATGCATCTTCTGTTAAATTACCCCACACTCCATCACTTTAAAGTCTAAAAAAGTGATTTGAGCAAAACAAACTTACATCAATTTTCGATCCTTTACAGAATGCTCCAGATGGATGAACATGATCATATAATATAATAACACCGACCATAACACGAAGACAAAAATGAACAGTGTCTTCACCCATCTGAAACCGTTCCATGTGTGCTCTGGAAAAAAAATATATATATATTTTCAAAATCCCATACAAAGGTGTTAATAACATTATTATAATAGCGTACACAAAACACATTCCAGTTATATAATTTCGACTTTTCTGAGCCGTCGTGTAAAATGTCAAAGGTTCAACTTATTTATAAACTTCAGCAGAGTCCAATTATGCTGCAATGAACTTGATATTAATTCCCAGGAGAGACAGTGATAATGACCTTCACCTCAGGTTTTGGATTTGCATAATGAGTGATCAATATGGCATCAGACACAGACAGACAGATTTAAATAATTAAATTCAAAAAGAAAAATAAATTTCTCGCCTCTGAATATGCAAATGTGATTTTAAACTCTACTAAAATGAACAAAACTTCTTTTTTTTCAATTTAATAAATCTGCCAGTGTTTGACTTAATGAAGTCAATACTGCACTAATTTGCACTGCATTTTTCATATGTATTATGATTATGAAACATTTTTAAATCCTATTTTACTTACGGATTTTCCAACATGACTTTGCAAATGTTTCCCATTGTACTTAAAACCTCAGAAGTTCTTTCATTGTCGACTTCCATATTCTAAATAGGAAAAAGACGTATTAGCTTTGATCAATTTAAGAATGATTAGACCCAAGTGTACTCACTACCCAACCCAGAGACCCAAAACAGTAGTTCTGTTCTTCATAGCAGGGGTGTGCAACCTTTATTACAGGAGGCCCAGATAGAAATAACTGGGTGAAACCCTGGGTCGCACCTTAACATAGGCTATCATAAAAATTGTGGTTATTGATCTTGTGACATGCAATGTTTGCGCAAGCTAGCTGTGAAGTCATTGTGATGTCATAGCAGGCATAGATAATAAATTGGACCCAGGTATAGGCTTCGCAATGCAAAGGGATTGGAATTACTCGCACATGCCAAATTAAATTGAAAACTCGTTTCGCAGGCCACCCATCATTCAAAATTGGCACTTTGCACACAAAATTGGCGCGGGCTGCACAATTTTTCCTTGTGGGCCGCATTTGGCCCGTGGCCCGCAGGTTGCACACCCCTGCTTTCTAGCACAACAGTCATATTCATGGACTCTTCCATTTTTCAATTAGATTCTTACTGTGTTGTAGCAACAGTCTTAATAATCTCAAACACAACTAAAAACAAGTCTATGACTTAAATCCTTAAATTATTATATTAATAAAAAGTTAAATGTGCAATAATTTGTGTGTACATTGCCAAAACAGATCACACTAACTATGGCGTCAAAAAAAATAATTCAATCTTACCTCTGATACAAATTTTGTTGTAGCATCACTTAATGTCTTCAGCATTGGAGTTGCCTCAGCATAAAAAAGTGACATTTTATTTGCGAGTTCTGTTGATATAAACTGTCCTTCATTGTAATCTATCGCTGTTGATGAAGAATTCATTCCCCTTCGTGAGACTATCCTTCGAAAGTATGAAAAATCGTTCTGAATAGCTGGATTGTTCATCTGAAAAAATTATAATAGAGTGAATTTTAGATGTATCAAAGCATTTTAGTTGGATTATGTTTTTATATTATATCATCCATAGGCCTATATACGAAAAACGGCACTCCAGAAGTGTGTGTACCAATATGGAGGTAACTTATTTTGTTTGCTTATTTTACATAAAGTTGTGTAAAGGGACGGAAGCCTATGGGCAGGTGGTATATTCACTTGGCTAACACAACAATACCAGAACTCGTAATAGAACTAAAATAAGAAAAATCTGAATAAAATTATGGCCTAACTATAATCTGGTACACATACTACGGGAGTACTCAAAAAACAATACTGAAGGAATAACCTAGCTATGTAACTTGGACTTGTGAAAATATTTACCGGTAAGTATTTTCTGATATTTGGCTGTAATCCTTTCTAAAATAATATAATTGTCAGTTTTGAAAACTTCTCACAACCGTAAGCAATAACCTAATTAAACAATTCAAATTTTATTTATTTTGAATGGCTTCATCATCAGTGGCCGCATAATGAATAAAAAATCAGCCATATTAAAATCCAAGAATAGGTCTATGACATCAACAATGAGTAATATTCAAGTATTTGAAAGAATAACTTAGTCATTTGAATAAAATACAACTGAACAATCGAATGTGCAATTTAACAATTTATGACCAAACAATACATCTTTTTGCTACCAAATAAAAAGCAAAAGTTGTTTATCTGAATGAATTATAAAATAATATGTTAAATTTATCATCAGGTGTAGTGAATATAGCCCGTACAACCTACTTGTAAAATCTATCTACAGCTTTTTGTACCATCGCGATTGCTATAATAGCACTATAACTAAAATCCTGCAATTTACTAGCTTGCTTTAAATCAGTGGTTCCCAAAGTTGATTGACTGGGGGCCAAATTAGAAGCGGAAGGATATTCAAGGCCCAAGAGAGGGGAGCGTCCGCGAGGGGGCGCTACATGTACATATAATTAATATATCGGTATAATTTAATTGCTAGGAATATACACAGGCTTAAACTGTGATAATGATGTAACAATTGGCGTTATCTAAAACGCAAAAAGAAAAAACAAAGTGATAAACTATTTCACCTAAGTTCAGCAAGCCATACTAAAACACACTGATTGGACCGAAAGACAGGGTTTGAAAACAACTGCTCGTTTATTGCAACAAAGTAAAGATTCAAGTATACAGTCATTGTGAGTTCGTCATCTGCATGGTATTGTTCCTTACAATATCTACTATGACTCAGACTGGAATTGTGACTCGAAAGTCGAAAAGGTGATGATCGCATCTCCAGTCAAATGTGAGCTATGGCGAATTTTTATATATGATACACAAATGAAATCCTGAGATTCAAAATGACTTGCAACTAGAGGTTTAATGGATTTATGCTGAAAATAATATTTTTTGACAACTTACTTTTAAATCGTCAAATTTCAGTGTATATTGAAGAATTTCTGCAAATTGTTTTGCGAGTGCTTGTTTCGTTTCCAAGTGTTGTGTTGTTGATTGGTCGTTGCTTGTTAATGCCCGTAGTAACTCTTGAATACATTTTTCTAGAAATAGATATTAATCAATAAGTGTATAACAGGCTCTATCACTGTGATGAAATAGTAAAATGTCACAATAAGATAATTTGAAGAAACGATAAAGGTCAGTTACAGTTCACAAGTGATTACTATTTTATATTACGAGTACCAACAATTTCATGTAATATAAAGTGAGGTAATCAAGATGATATCATCTAACTTCATGATGTAAATAGATTTCCGCATCATTTTATGAATGAAACAATCATAATTTCCTGTTCAGATAATGAAAGCTTTCATAAAAACAAAATTAATAGGACAATATTATAATAAAAAATAAAGTATATTGTTCTTCGATTCAATTTAGAAAAGAATGGTCAAAATACAAAAAAGTATCATAAACTAGTTTGGTTAGAATTGAAACAATAAACTTTTTACAATTATAAGATGTTATGTAGTGTATTTGTAGTATTTGTTTAGGACATAAGTAGCATTTATTAATGACAGACTGTGAACATAATAGGCACTTTTTTTTAAGCAGCAGAATTCATTTTGTATATTTCGTTCTCAACCGGCAATATATTATAAAAGAAGAAAATTAGTTTGGCAATATCATATACAGTACAGGCAATGCACAAGCAAAAAACTCAATACATGATTCAAACTCGCCCGTTAATTTCAACAGATGTTTTTTTTTTCAAGCAGTAATGCGTTAAGTAAAAAAATGACTTTCTAACTTGATATAAATCATGGCCTGAAGTCAAAACAGATGTGATTTCCATCAGCACACAGACAATATAAATAATTTAAAATGGCTTTGTGCATAATAAGGCGTCGGGGAAACATTGCAGTCATTGTCAATACTTGATAATACCATAGGTTGGAGTGAGACAAGTTCAGTCAAGAATACTTCAATAAACTTGAATGTTTGGAATTTACAAAATGATTTATAAATAATGAAGCTCTGGTCATGCAATAGCTGTGTTTGTTATAATGCATACTTAAATGAACTCACCTAAATTGAGTGAAAACTCGAAAAATCTTTTTAACTGATGAACTAAGGGTATAATAGCATCCCATGCTTCTTTCTGTTTCTCATCAGATGATGGATTTTGTATCGCCTAATCATAAAAATAAATTTTGTTAAAAAAAATAATATCGTCACATTAAATATATAAATTTAACAGCGCTCCAGAAGTGTGTGTACCAATATGGAGGTAACTAATTTTGTTCGCCTAATTTACATCAAGTTGTGTAAAGAAACTGAAACCTATGGGCAAGGGGTATATTCACTTGGGTAACACAGACAGTCCTCAAACTCGTATAAGAAATAAAATAAGGATAATCGGAATAAAATTATGGCCAACCCTAACCTGGTACACACACTACGGGGGTACCAATTTAAGGAAGCTTGTTTAATAACCTACAATTCCAATTATGACCAATTTTATTGCAAATGTTTTGATAAATTCATAATGTAGCCATACAATGGCGAACAGTGAGTCAAAGGAATCCACTGAAATCAAAATATTTCCTCATATCAGGTACTTTACAAAAATATTTTGTGCAATAATTAATTCACAGTATCATCTTAATTACTGGCATAATAACAAGCATTATGAAATTCATTTGAACCACAAATTTTAATAAGCCTACTTCTCGTATGGGACCACCGGCTCCTTTATAAGATTCCAATTCCTTGATTATTCCTGGTGCAAATGATAACACATGAGACACTTGAGTATAGACTTCCTTTTCATGTTCGCTTGGTCTGGCATCTGATGTAGAATAACAAAAACATAATTGAGTCAATTATTATAATAACTTTGAAAATTAATATAAAGTGGTAAAATAAGAGAATTTTCGATTATTTACTTGTCTAGATTTTCTGAGATTGATTTTTCAAGTCTAGTGTAGTTTTGTACCTCAAGTACTTTTAGTGCGCGTAGCGTAATAATTTTTGCATATGTCAATCCTAGCTCCCACCTGACTGCGTCATTCGAAAATGACATCCCGATTAATCTTTTTAAAAATTCATCATTATTATTAATTATGGGTAGAACATACATTATTAAATATTAATGAGTTAACATTCTTGGAGAAACTTGTTGCTGTCAAGTCCATTCTTCATAATTATTGAAGACAATTTTCAACAACAGCGACTTAATGTGAATGTTTTTAACTACGAGTACATTGCGAATTTTTAACTACAATGCGAATTTGAACAGACGCAATATCCAGTCTCCCTTCGAGATGAACGTGGCGCTAAATTACCCAACGCTAAATAGAACACTGAACACATCCTATCCATCAATCAAACAGTGAAGTAAAAAAGATAAAACTTCAAGAATTACAACAGATTTATTAAGTAGTTAGTTAGTCTCGCAGAAACCAAATCATTAGCGGGAGATTTATTCAACGTATGAACATAAACATAATAGACAACAAACCTTCAAAATCAAGAAATATCTCATCATAAGCTTCATCCTTACAGTGTAATACTCGTAGCAAGTTTCCCATTATATAGCAACCCAAATATACCTGTTAATAAAATACAGTTAGTTGAGGCTGAACTTATATTAATTTCCAAAAAGCTTTCACAATAAAATCATGGCAAATTTTGATCCAAATTTAGACCGAAATGCAATTTATAAAAAGTTAATGAGGGTTGAACTACCTTATATATACGGGCTCTTATAACCGGGGTCACGACAGCCCAATGGGTCGCGGTACCCATTATCGGATTATTATCAGAACTAGCCATACTCACTCTCTTACCCCTTGCCTCTGCTTAGTGGTGTAAAAAAAAAATTTTTGACACCAAATTATGTTAAAACAAGATAACAATCAAATCTGAAAGATTTGGGATCCGTACTGAGACCCACCATCACCGAAATAGAGCAAAGATTCAATCTCTTGTGCGAGAATATGCAAGCACATCTATCTCATTAAAGTTGCTGAGGGTCATAAAAAATGTGGTAATGCCAAGTTGGTTGTGATGGAGTTTGCAGAACGCTGCAATATAAACTACATTAGAATCAAAACAACGAACAATACCTTTGGCTAAACCTTCTTCACTTGATATTACAAATCCAAATAATAGACGATATCAAAAAGAAAATGCTTCACTCCATCTGTGTCTTGTCACTTGGTACAGTGTCTTGTCACTTTGTATAAAATTTGATAATTATAATATATAGAAAGTAGGCTACTTTATCATCAAATCTAAGAAAATAGAAAGTTATGAAATTTTAATATACGACCACTGTAAGTGCTGTGCCATTTGCTATGGATTTGTTGGCATTAACATTGGAATATTATAAGTAAATTGATGCCTGCTTTGCTTGATATTCTAATAATAAAACTTTTGAAATGAAGTCTTATTAGATTAGAATCCAATATAATAATTTTGAATATATCAATATAGTCAATAGTCCCCTTGTATTCAAACTAAAGCAAATCAAAATTAAAGTATGCCAACAATATATAGACTATAATCGAACAGAATTTTTAATGCACAGATTTGTATAATGCCAAATCCAACAACTAATGTTATTATACCACGATAAACGCCATAGGGAAAATCCTCCATGTAACAGTGCACTATTGTTGACAGCATTCCCAAAATCTCACATCTAAAGAAAGCTCACGGGATGACCTGGTGGGCTGTTTGCCGAACTGTCAAGCACCTGTCATTTATCAAAGATGAGCTTTTGAGATGAGTTCACAACTGTTCAAAGCGCATTACTAAAATCCCCAGGGGTTCGACCCACTATCAAATTCTATATAGTTGGCCAAGCATGACCAAACACGAAACAGATCATATGAAACAATTCGAAACACATAACAAACTTGGTGTATTTCAATTATTAATATCAACCAGAAGAGGTGGAGAATAAGGAAATACTATACTGTCCAGACGTATTGACAAACTGTATCCATATTAGGTCATACCTATTTTTTATGTTAATAGTTACCACCAATATAAAGGTGACTCATGTTAGTACCTGCCAGTTAATACCTACTGTTTGACAGATTACAACATGCATCACATGCTGGACTTCTAATAAAAATTGTGCAGTGACTCATATGTAGTTAATTGATATTATCAACATTATTTTTGAAGTGTATGATTTATAGTGAAAGAAATTTCAAACCAACATAGGATTCAAATTCATAAAAATTTGAAATGTAACATAATAAGTGAATATATTTTTGCCAACTCAATGCCTCATTTATTCGATGTTTAATCTATAGACTTAAATATATATTTTCTATAAAGCTGGTACGACAAGTTTGGAAACGGGCACTGTGCCAAATAATACTGTAATATGCTGCACAAAATGAAAGCAGAATCTCCTACCAGCTTTATGAAATGCTGTTTTTGTCTATGCTAACTCGTGCTCTGCAATAACCAGAGTGATTTAATGTTATTGACTTTCTATATGAAAGATTTGATTGTTTATATTTAGCCCGAGGTAAAAGAAAGTCCCGTAGATGTTATCACATAGACCAGAGTTTGGGAAACGCTGCTATTTGGAATTTAATATTATCAATATTTTATTGCACCAAACATTATTTGGAAATGAAAATGATACAATCGGACAATGTAAAACAAATATAATACAGAACTAAATCGAGCGAATCAACTAACTACCAACCATTTTCAAATAAGAGTTTTACAGTTGGCTAATTGGGACTTGCATTAGCAAAATGTACTGATGTTATACAAGTTTCCTATAACAAGAATTTTAAACATATAACATCCAGGACCAGATAATACTGCAATAATTAGTAGTGCAAGTGTCAATACCACTGAGTTAGTTACCAGTCAGCCAGTGTTATACAATTTGAAATCATATTACAATTTTTGCATTTTCGAGTTGTAGGGTGGCTTAGCCACTTTGCGGCCACGACCTACTTGCGGCCATCAACTTCATCGATTCAATTAATGCTGAAAAAATTAACAAACCGCGACAATATTTCTAACCCGCCTGCAAAATTACACTAAAATGCGGCCACAAACAACTAAGTTACGACCGAAAATCCGACGGAAGAAAAAGACCATTTTTTCAACTACCCATTGTCCCTGTAAGAACGCTTGAAAATCCATAGAAATGAAAGAGATAAAAAGATGAAACTTGTCAGGTGGGCAGAGTTGTGTTTTTTTTAATCATCTTTAAAGTTTCGCATTTCTACATTTAAAGAAAGGGGAAGGAGGGGTGCGCATTTTCAATAGGTTGATAATGTCATTGTCGACCAATTTGCAACCACCATGTTTTTGTGTGTTTGATTGTCGCGATGCAGTGCTTTGTTTGTAATTTGAAGAGTGTTTGTGTTCGAAATAACCGTGTTCTTAAAATATATGACAGTCAGAAATGCAATTAAAAGCCCAATCTATTCACGCATTGTTGCGTGTGTTGATACAGTCTCGATGCAGCAGAAACAAGGCTCGAAATCTGTGGTTGCACACTGGTCGTTCGGTTGCAAATACGTCTTCTGAGTGTCATATTTTGGTGGTTTGTATAGCTTTAAGCCCTGGTCGAAAAAAGTTAATTCGAGTTGTAGACTAGCGTGTAGAATAAATGCCAATGCACCTTCGGTGAAAAAATTAACAGGTTAGAAATATTGGTTCTTTCTTATTTTATAGCGGTTTAAAATGAAATCGCCCGCAGACTGGCTGCACCATCCTAATTTTTAAAACATAGATCACAAGAATATCCGGCACTAGTTCACAAAACTGTTGACTTCCTTCCAGTGTGATGAAAAGTTGCTTGTTATCAAGTCATCTCAGTATCTCGAAACTTGTGTAGCACATTCGAGTCTCATGTACCGTAGTTTCATTCCTAACATACGGTACTTCTAGTGGGCGTAGCATGACAATTTTTTCACGTATCAATCCTAACCCCCACCTGACTACACCATCCAAAAATTACGTCATTACGACGTCACAGTGACGTAATAGAGCCCTTCAAACTATACGAACTGCCATCCAAGACGCGCAAACAAGCACCCGAAATCGACCAGTAATTTCTCTCGTTTTCTCGTCGCAACGATTCCAATAGGAGAGAGACCGATAACGTCAGTCAGTTCTTTATCGTCGGCGACAATGCCATTTCGGTCGATCGTGCGTATATTTGGCAAGCTCTATGACGTGATTGTGATGTCCTAGTGATTTAATTTTTGGATGGCGTAATCAGATGAGGGTTAAGATTGACATATCAAAAAATTGTTATGCTACGCCCACTAGAAGTACGTTAGGTACAAAACTACACGAGAACCGCACATTCCAGCATTCTGACATTACTACCTTTGTTACAATAATGTCATCTAGTCTATATTTTCACAAGTACAATTTACCCTCAACCTAATTCATAGTGAAAAGATCGCCAACGACTTGCAACATCAGCATTTTCCATGCATAAGACTCTCATTTTAACTCCATGATTTTCGGGGTCTAGTATACTTCCAGTGGGCGTAGCATAACGATTTTTGCATATGTTATTCCTAACCCTCACCTGACTATGCCATCCAAAAATTACGTCACTACGACGTCACCATCACGTCATAGGGTTTGCCAAAGTATGATTACGATCGCCCGAAATGGCATCTGCGCCGCCGATAAGAACTTACTAAAGCCGGCGATCTCTCTCCTATCGTGATCGCTTGCTCGATTTCGAGTTATCATCTGCGCGTTTTGGACGACCATCCGCATACTTCGGTGGGCCATATTACGCCACTGTGACGTCGGAATGACGTAATTTTTCACTGACAAAGTCAAGTGGGGGTTAGGATTGACATAGGCAAAAATTGTTGAGCCAGGCCAACTAGAAGTGGATGTGGTACTAAACTATACCAGACCCGATTTTCGCATCACTGCATCAGTACCGTAGCGTTACCTACCGGTACAGTGAAGCAGTGGTGAGTTAGCTGTGCAGCATCAATACTGCAATATGGTATTGTAATCATTCATAAAACCTAGGCTATTTGTGAATCACGAATTTCGCCCCCCGTTCTACTGACCATATCACTGTATCACCATGTCCTGATTCTGACGTCATGCAACTGTGTTTTCAGGTTTTAGACGAAGAACGTCTCATATCACGTCTCTGCTTTTGCAGTTTTGTGTCTATCTATACGATAAATTATTACGCAGGCAACGCTACATTTTGAAACAAATAAACAATCATAGTTATCCGCTTTTACCATTCCCCAACTCTGCCACTGTCAGACAAGGAAGCCTAACGAATAACAAGGAACACGCGAACGCAAAATGAAACAGCCGAGCCTTTTAACCAACAGATTGAGTAAGCGGAAACAAAACTGGGGCGGATTGAGCTGTGCGCGATGATGCATATCACGAGAAAATTTGTGGATACATTTATGAAAAATAAAAAATAAATAAAGCGAAACGGTTAGCGCACCGGTATACATATAAAATTATCAAGAATAAATGCACCACAACTGTGGTTTGCAAAACGGTTAGCGTATATATATGCGTGGGAATGCAGGGTCAAATCCCATGAGGGGGATAGCTGTGTGTCTGAGAATTGCTGGAGTCCTCGCCGGAGTAGGGTGATTCACGTAACCGCTGGTCAGTTACGGATTCTTCCGCCATCAAGTCCATGATTCTGAAAACAAATAAAGACCATACCCGACATGACATGCATGTTAGTCGTTGTGTATATGATAAATCGGCTCTCCTCTCCCCCGGGATAAATATGTGAAAAGTGACAAAATTCATTTGGAAGGTATCTCAGCAGGACAAGAGACTCGGCTGTTTTCAAGATTATATATATCCTTTACGTAACGGATTTTATTGTGAGACATGTGTAGACTAAATTATATTATAACCCAACAAGTAGGCTATATAATTTACAATTACTCATTTAATAAGCCTATAATTCAATTGTAATTAGATTTTAAAAAAAACGCAGAAAAGTTGATGTTAAGTGCAGAGGTTCAATGGCGCAGTAAATATTCAAATGAAATTTTTTGAAACAAGAGAGCTATGCTCAAATATATGGACACGTAGTGCCACCCATTGGCAATAATTTTGATGACGTCATAGCAACTAAAAGTAATAGCCTTCTGGAGAAAAATTTTATCTTTATCCACTGAAAATTGAAATTGGTCAAAATTGTCCAAAGCAATTGGTCCAGTATTCAAAGAGAAAAGCGATTTTTTAAAAATGATGGAGACAAATAACAATAATAACAAAATTTTGAAACGATCGTTATGTCCACTAAACGTGTCCAATAAATATAGGTATACTCTATTCGAGAGATTGATCACTTCTTGATTTTTATAAAAAGTATCTTCTTGAAGGAAACTCAATACAAAATTGACAAACCATGCGAAAAATTTCACATCGATGTTTGGACGAGTAGGCCTACACATGCATGCGAACAATTATTTTTGAAAGTGAACATTGCAAAGAACAAGCTGAGAACTCGGATTAGTGATTCCCAATGTTTTAATCTTGGCTTCATCTAGTTTCCGATTTAGAAAATGCTTCCCATTTAGTGATGTCAAACGTAACGTATCAAGCGTGATGCAACAAAAAGTGTCACCATAAATGTCATTTAAAAAAAATTTTCTCTAAGTAAAATGACTAAGTTCACGAATTGTCGCAGTCTGCGCGCGCTGCTTAAAATTTAAATTTCTGATCGGTGTGAAAAGATTGTTATTCAGCCGTCATCCGTTCGGTTTTTAACATCCTAAAAATATAAATATGTGCGCCCGCCAAGACTTGCAACCGTTAATTTTGGCCCGTGAGCGACAAAAGCTTGCCGACCCCTGGCGTAGACGAAAGACGTAGACTAGAGGAAAAAGCTTTAACGTATTTTTCTAAATAGCCCGCGAGCCTGGCAGAGATATAAATGTTGATGACACCTTCAATTTAATTTGATACTTGCAGTCCACAATTTCAAATTACAATGCGTTCATTCTGCAGAATATATACCACTGGAAGATAAAAAAAAAATTCTACAAAATTACGCTGTTGGGGATAAGATTTTCATTCTGAGGCATTGGCATTGGGTGTTGCGGCGACAATAGGAACAACCCGCTTGTGTGTCCAAAAAGAAAGAAGATTGAGTTGACTCAAGTACGACAATATCACTAAGTAATATATATATTCACTTGCGGGTTCCTAAGATGCCAGTCGATATTAGGAAGTTGGGAAATGACATTCAAAAATAGGTTGGAGTAATAACCGTCCGTGCTCTCTATATTTTATTACTGCTTGAAACTATTATTCATTGTTCACAATCCTATTATTTTGAGGAATAAAACTTGAGACGTGTTATTCCGTGAAGACGCAAAACTGAAACATACTTCGCGGCCTCGGGTAGTTTTTTGGTTGGATATGGCCTGGTGAGACTATAGCTGGGCAACTAGATTTTCCAGACGATGGCGGACTATATTGGAAGAAAGCCACGAATGTTAAATATCAAAACAGTGTTTCCCAAAAATAAAATTAACACAATTTTGGGTTAATATCGGACCCGTATTTAAAAACAGAAGCGATTGCTGTTTGAAGACTTCACCCATCTTCAAGCACCGAAAATTCGAATTCGTTGGTTTCTTAGTTTGATTATTAAAACAAACATTTTACTCTTATTTGGCCATCAATTTATTTATTCTAATGTATATATAACAGCATATGCATTTTGTTTATCCCCAAATTATTTTTGAAGCTAGGTATGAGTATAGCAACACCCTCAGAAACTTACGTCCAATTGCACTGTATCGCGATGTCGCGGTTGTGAGATCTAATATATTTTAACAGAATGTGACTTTTGCGATTGCGTAAACATTCTGCGATTTTAATGATGGTAAATTCTAGGTATTGTTTATGCTTGCTTGCTTTCATGGTCAGTTGTATCTGTCGTTATAAGTACTCTAAGTCCATCTGGTAAGCAATTAAGTTCGTAGGAAAAATATATTACAATGAATGACCTGACAGACATTTGTTTAACCTTTGCACCTCTCTTTCATCAAATCTACTCATAGTCAGCTTCCGATTTGAATTGAAAAATAATTTTATAGCGTGTATGGCCAGCGTATACCAACTCATTGAGAATCAGGATGCTAGTTTCTGGTTTCAGTACATCATAATTATGATTTGTGAAACCATGTAATATAAATAATTTTCGTCGAACGCTCAAAACCAACCTACAATAAGCTCAATTCCATAGAGGTTTACTGAAGAGAAAATTGAAAATGAAATTTTGTATACTTTATTAAGCGTAATTGGGGTATACTTGGCAGAATATGGCAAATGAAAAATATAAAAAAGTAAAAAAAAAATGAAAAACAAAATGACTTGAAAGATGACGACGATGACGATGACAATATATAGATAAGCGTAAATACAACATATTATGACGACGATGACAGTGATAGCAAATATAACAAGCTTTGTCAGGTCTTACAAAATCGAACAGCAGCTTGGCTGCCAAAGACAGTAGTTTATAATGTTTTCTTCCTTCTGACGAAACAACTCGTTTCATCTATATACTTTGAAGTTAGCTAGTCCTCTCATACTTTGCGATTATTGCCCGAGTCCGTCAGGAAAAATTCTTTTTTCTGTTTTCGAGTTGGGTATTGTTAAAAATTTATTGCATCCAAAGGCGGGAGAGAACTTTCATCACGACCTAGAGCGTTATTATCTGCTGGTGGCCCAATGTCTTCTCCATTGTCGGGGCCTTTAGGTCCTGTAGTGTAAATACATTAAATCAGGCATTTTTTATTGTTGTTCAGGAAAGAAGTCACAAATGTCGTAATTGGTTTATTTCTGCATTGCGATGTTTAGACTTCAATCAATATATATTTTAATAAGTATTAACGTTTTTTAAAGTCTTTCAAATAGCCTACATATGTTACCTTTTGTGTCAACTACTTGTGATGGTCTTCTTCCCCCAAGGCATGTTGAAGGGTCGCAGTATCCTGGCGGACCCATTACACCTTGTGATCCTGGATAACCCGGAGGACCAGGCAAGCCGGTTTCACCACGTGCACCGTCACGACCGTCTTTGCCAAACCCTGGTTCTCCTTGTCGGCCTGTAATATGAAATGAAAATTTATTGTGTTTGATATTCCGATTCGACATTCAGCTTTCATATTCATAAAATATTCATAATGGATCAAACCTTCAGCTCCCGTTGGACCTGGTGGTCCAGGAAGTCCGACGCCAACGGATCCTCTCTCTCCCTTGTCTCCAAGACTTCCTAAAAAGTGGAAAAGGGGGAAAATTAGGGACATTAACATTTTTAATGATAAATTATCTGATTAATCAACTCATCAAGTACCTTTAAGACCTCTGGATCCTTCAGGACCTGGTGGTCCTCTTTCACCCGGCATTCCAGTCTTTCCTTCAATACCTGGTATACCTAGGAAGACAAAATTGCATATATATTGTGAAAATATATATAAAAAAAATGTTCGCAAAACATGAATTTTTCGTTCATCCCCATTGCATCCATAAAACTTGGTTTATGAGAGTTAAACAACATTTTTATTGTTTGTAATATCAAATTTCAGTTAATTAAGGAAGAATCAGTTTATCAGTTTGATAAACACAATATTTCATTATTTTAAACTAAATATTATCACTAATGAACAAAATCAGTTTGGTATGAACATGATGGGTTCATGCTTATACTTACCCTGTTCTCCTTGGATACCAGGTGTTCCCGGTTGTCCAGGTCGCCCGGGTTCGCCGTTTCTGACTATGCCACGAGGTCTCATCTGGGCGGTCAGTTGACTAACCACGCCTAAAAAAAGTAGTCAAAAGCGTAAAATACTCCGCAAATCTAATAGTTTTGATCCTTGCTTTATGTCATTAGAATAAAATATTGTTTGCGTCACGATGACATCATTTCAAAAACGTTTGTCATAGTAGTTTAATTATTTTAAGGTATTGATAGCAAGCCATTAACATACCGCTCAATTGTCTTCTGATCATTTCTCTTATTACATCTTCGCTTGGAGGTCTTCCAGGGGGGCCTTGTGATCCTGGTCTTCCGCGTGGTCCACGTTCTCCTGTGTATCCACGCTCTCCAAGAGTTCCTCGGGGACCTTCTGGACCTCCGGGACCAATTGGCCCAGTGGGTCCACGTTGACCATGTTCTCCAGGTGTTCCGGGCTGAATCCAAAGCACGCATAATTAATTTCATTTCAAATTTATTTTTTATTCAATGAGTATCAATGAATGTACACTCCACGTTTTACACAGTATATAACTGTCGACGAACGACAAAACATTCGTTTTTTTTTAAATTAGTTGTTGGATCATTACAACTTCTAAAGCGCTGATATTTGTTTATAGAAATGTGAACAAATCAATATATAGAGGGTAGTCGATTCTTTCTAGTATATTTGCACAATTTTTTGGTGTCATATGTTTTGACTTGTAAAATATTTACACATTTCAAGTTCTATAACATCTCTCTTACTCTAAAATAAAATTATCTATCTCCAATATATTTACCGGTCCTCTTTCTCCAGGTACTCCACTTTCACCTTTTGGTCCTAATGGTCCAATTGGTCCTTCGACACCATCCTCGCCCTGAGTAGAATAAGAATTAATGCATTTTAACATTTTTGCGTACCCATATAAAATTATAAGAAACATTTAATAGTTTCAATGCACTGGCAAAGAATAAAAATAGAAAGCATAGATCAGACGAGACGGAGAGTTGATAAAAAAATTATTATTAATATTATTAACTCACCGGTTCTCCCTTTGGTCCACCTGGTCCTGAAGCTCCCTATAATTTAAAAAGAAATATTAGCATAAATACACGTTGACATTATAAATTATGTACTATTTTTTACCGTGAAAATTAAAATGAATACCTTGTGTCCTTTGATTCCCGGGAATCCTCGTTCACCAGGTTTACCTTGAATTCCTTGATCGCCTGGTTCTCCCTTTTAAAAAATATGAAATATAAATTAGTAAAATAAACCGATTAAAATTTTTAAACAACAGAAATTTTATGTAGTCTTCATATATATATAAAGTTTAATTCTTATTTTAATTGGAAATTAAATTTAACATTAAAATAAATCAGTTCAAGATTTATTCCTATAAAATGCGATACAAATAAGAATATATAAATGTAATATTCAATAACTTACTGGTGGGCCTCTGCCTCCAATTGGTCCTGGGGGTCCTTCTGGTCCTACTTCACCCTGAAAATCAACGTCTCAATTTGAGTATTTTATTTTCCGATTCTTAAATTTCACTAAGTTGGTAATGTTTTTTTTTTTTGCGAAAATAAAATCAGTTTTCACTTTATTATCAACACTTTGAAAGACATTTCAGAAAAAAATATGATTCGGATGTGTATTAGTTCTTCACTTCTGGAACAGACAAGTGTCGTTTCCGCATTTTTTTTGTGCAATTCCGATTATTTTTATTGTAAAACGAAATGATTCTTACCGGTGATCCACGATCGCCTGGTGCGCCATCGATACCTTGGGGTCCTTCAGGTCCCTGATAAATCAAACAAATATGGCTTTAGAACAAACAAATATGGCCAAATCGAAAATAATGGAATTTTGTATAGTAATGTTGCGAGAAACCTGCAACCTATTTGTAACTAATGTAACTAAATTCATTTCTTCTTCTGCAAATTGCCAGATAAGATGTGTGACGTAGTGTCAGCTGAAACTGGATAGTATATATACGTGAAAATATATATGTGCTGGTATTTGTTAGAAGATTTAGAGTAATTTTTCGCTCAGGTGTTCAATTTACGTCTAGTGTTTAAATCGGAAAAGCCGAATGTTCTCTGCAATAAACTCATTGGCACGAATTTAGGTCAAGAAGCATCATTAATATTTAAAGATGATGAATTTGTATGGACTTGACCATGGTCAGTAAAAACTCTAACCGGTTCGCCTTTCTTGCCATCTCCTCCAGTTTGACCTGGTGATCCTCTTTCACCCTGTGAAAATGGATAATGATGTTAAAATCAGTCTAATCGTAATATTCGCAACACTCAACACAACACAAAATATTTAGAATTACATTTGTTGCTTTTTATAGTACTTTTTGTACTTTTAGTGAAAGCAAGACCGCAGAAAAAAATCAGTCCAATATTTTATTTGAATGCAATCGAATATTTCGTGTCACGTCATTCAGACAAGTGAAATAAACTTACCGGAACTCCAGCGGGTCCAGCAGCTCCTTCGCCTCCTTTCGATCCCTGCATAAACAAAATGTATCTGATTATAAAGTTCATTCTTTGATATGATAAAATGAATCAAAACAATCATTAAATATCCCAATAAATAAATAAATCGCTTCCAAGATATCGCTTGTAAATATGTTTACCGGGATTCCTGGTCTTCCCTCTTCTCCTTTCTTGCCAGCAGCTCCTGGAGATCCCTGAATATTAAAACATTAGAAATTGATAAGTAAATGGACTTTTCTTGAAATAAAAATTTCCCGTATTGCAGTGGACTGAGGCTCAATAAAACTTACGCGTTCGCCTGGTGTTCCTGGAATTCCGTCTTGGCCGTTCAAACCGGTTGAACCCTGAAAAAAGCAAAAATATTTTGAAAATCTTACACTAAGTTAATTATGCAAATTAGTGTTAACTTTTGATAACCCGATTTGCAGCAAATGCATCAGAATTTATTATAATATAACTATAATTGTGTGTGACAAAAATTTCCTGATTTCACGAATTTGGTTTTTAATTTAATTTTGTACTAAACTTTAAAGTACCAACCTCTTCTCCCTTTGGTCCAGTCTGCCCAGGGTTTCCTTTAGGTCCTGGTTGCCCAGGCACCCCTCTGGCTCCGGTTTCGCCTGGCACTCCAGCAGGTCCCATTTCACCCTAAAATGGGGATATAAATACTTCTAAAAACTGTTGTGTACGCGTTGATCACATTTTTATAGAATGATGAATAGTTTGTCTATTGTTTCATAAAACTTGGTTATTGACATTTTATTATTGACATTGATTATTTTTTTCACCTGTTCTCCCTGTGCTCCATTCGCGCCTCGCTCTCCTGGTGGTCCAGAAGCACCCTGTTGAAAATTTTTGATTTTTAAAACATTTCAAGTAGTAATATAAACAAATATTATTTAAAAAAAAAAAATAAGTCACCTCATCTCCCTTCTTTCCATCTTCGCCAATATATCCACGAGGTCCTCTCGGTCCCTGTAGAAGCAATTAACATGTTACTTTACTTACTGCTTACTAGGATTTCGCAGATGATTTGAAAGAGTAAAACTCAAAACAAGTCGAATGCTAAACTTGAGAGTGAAATCCTATTTTGTAGCGATACGCAAAATAAATCCTATATTATTACTACCTCGATCTCCTTCGTACACAAGATGTGAATAGATTAAGCAAAGTTACCGTTTCTCCTCCTGGTCCTTGAGGACCTTGAACTCCTTCGGGTCCTGGTTCACCCTTTGGTCCCTGTTTACCATCAGGTCCCATGTGTCCACGATATCCTTTGTGTCCCTAAAAATGAGTATGAAATTTCAAATATTATAATGTATCAATGACAACGCCAACAGAAATATTATAATCTTTATGTCTTATGAAAACATCTCCACAAATTTCTTGTTTGTAAAAAAGAGATCTTGCCTTCATACAATTCTACACTTGAGTGGAATCGGCCCATTTGGATTCATTTGAAATCAGATATTCTTTATAGTGCAGCGGAAAAAGGAATGTTAGACATTTCGAAATTTCAAAGAAAGTATATTAAATTATATACATAAATACCTTAATTCCGGAAAATCCGGGAGGTCCTGGTGGTCCAGGCGGTCCAGGCTGCAAAAATATAAAGCAAGATTAAAGTCGTAGCGGTCGTAGATGATAAATCAACTTTGAAGACGATCTTCAGTACGTCATGATTGATTTATATTCATTTAATTGCGGTAAATTTACATGTATTTATTTATTTTAAATACTGTAGCCGTCCGATGTTTCATTACAGTCGAATTTATATACCAGAAATATAGCAAAGTAGAAAAGGCGCAAAGAAAATTCAAAATGTAAATAAATCACAATATTTTATAATTGACAGCATCCAACAAAGTAAATATTAATATTTATATAAGTAGGCTACAAATGTAGAGCCGGGTGTGCAGTTAGCTAAGCACCAAAAGATCACAGGCATATAAAATTATTGGAATGTTGTAAATATTATCGAATACACTTACAACCGGATAAGCGCCGGATCCGCCATCGCCACCCTGAAAATAAAACAAATATTTTATAAAAAAAAAGAAAAATTATAAATATCTACTATTCAATCTTTAGTATTTGTGAAAGTTACTTACCCCAGGTATACCAGGCAGACCTCTCTCTCCTTGTGAACCCTGAAAAGTTACGAGATGAAATATTTATCCCTACAATAGAAGTCTGCTGCATATTCACAAAAAAGTTAACTATTTACTTTAACTCTTATTATCCTACAAATTTATTAAAAGTCAGATCAGACGCTGAGGATCAAATAGTATATGTATAAATCTGGTAATAAAATAACAAAAAAATTACCTTTCTTCCAGGTGCACCTCTAGTTCCGGGTCCTCCTTCATTGCCCTTTGGCCCCTGGGGTCCTACTGAGCCGTTGCCCTAAAATTATAACGGATTACTTTGAGACATTTCGAATAGGAAGTAAATATCAGGATAAGTCTTTGGGGTTTAAACACGAGGTCTCATTTAAACAATAAATAATCTACTCGAGACTTTGTAGAACAGGGAGGCCCATTGGGTTGAAGATGTTTGACATTGTATTATTGAGTTAATTACTCCCAGTTTTAGGCCAGTACAATGCCTTTTCTTTTTGGGGGTATCGAGACCGACACGTTTACAATATTTGTTTGTATAATTATTTCTGAAGACTCATTTTATAAATTTTAAATTCAAATAAGTTTTCGAAGATGAAATATATTATTTTCATTACTTACTGGGAATCCAATTGCACCTTGTTCACCTTTCTGTCCATCTGCACCCTAGAAAGAAAAAGGAAAAATTTCAAAATGTTTTAATGTCCTAATTATCCCATGTACACTCTACAGTATCATACTGAAAATAACAATACCAACTCACATTCCTTCCAGGCGGTCCTTCGGGTCCTGGAAATCCCTGTGGTATAAAATGAATGAATTTTTATATTCTACATTTATCACGAAAATAGCGCCAAGTGTTTTTGTTTAAAGCCGCTTTTGCATAAACAGTTGAACTAATTTAGTTTATTCTGCTGTGCCAATCCGTTTACTCAACCAAACTTGACCATATAAAAAGCATGAGCCATGAATACCAAAATAAACTTGCGTACGTTCTTCTAAGAACATTGGTAGTTTACTGAAAAATTGTGTTGTTTAAAGTATGAGTAAAATGAGTTTAAATCTCTGGAGAGTTTCATATACCTTAGTAGGCAAGTCTTTTGTGGTGAAGGTAATTAAAATTTTAATTTATATCATAAATTACTCACCCTAAGTCCTGATTCACCTGGTATACCAATTAGTCCCTGGAAAATTAAAATTGATTTGATTGCGTGACGAAATGCATATACTTCGAACAGCCTTATATAGCTTTGGTTATATTTTTGTATTACAAAAACTAGGAAGTTGTTTAACTGAAAATGTTTCATTGTGTTATTAGAAAATTTGTCTAACCCCGTAGCCTCCATGTTTAATGTTAAATTAAATTTCTCTTGTTAAAATGGAATGCTTTTTCCGAGTTATTTCAGACCAGCCGTAATCGGAATAACTAATGAAAATATGGGGGTACATACATCTTGGCCGTCCAGTCCATCAAATCCAGGAAGACCTGGTTCTCCTTTGGGTCCGGGTTCCCCTGCAGGTCCCTGATCCCCGTCTAATCCATCGAATCCCTGTGACACAGCAGAATAATAATAAATGAACAAATGATATATTAAATATGAACAAATGAATAAAATAATCAAGCAACTAAATACAAAAACATCAGAATATTCTACTCACAGGAATTCCTGGTTCGCCCGCTGGACCTGCGGGGCATTGATCTGGGCACTGTAAAATAAATCAATGATAAATAGGTTGATTGTTTGGTGACATATATTTTGATGACGTCATGAAAAATTGTAGTGATATGCAAGAAAATTTTTTTTTTAGACCTAAGGAAATAATATTATAAAAAAAACATTTCCTGTAACGCTAAAATTTGTGAAAAACAAAAACCCGCTTGAACCTACTGATACTTCGTAAAAGACTCGTGGAATTTGCGCATAACGCAAATCAACTATAATAGTAATACTTAAGAACAAAGAAAGTTACACACTTTTTCAAGAGTAAACTGACTAAATCTGCGGTTAGGGAGATAGACGGAGCCAACAGACCGTAATGTCTTGAAAACTTTGGCTATGAGCGCGAGGAAACCGAACACATTCCAGAATAATAATTGCTTATTTTCAAAACAATTTGCAAAATTCAACTATGAGCCATGCTTGATCCAAAATTGCCACGTTGACAAAGAAATAAAAAACCACGTATTATAGAACAGGTCCAAAGAGTTGGTGAAAAATTCTGAGTGAGAGCCTTATTTTACGTTTCTCTGTGAAAATAAATTTTTCGAAAATCAACAAATTTTTTTCCAAAGATATTTTTCATGGCCAGACATTCTTTTTGTCATCATATATTCACGAGTGACAATTTTTAAAAGCATAAATTGCCAACTTTTATAAATAATGCGTTGAAATTTTGTGGAAATCAATGTATGATACGGTTAAAAATCGAGAATTTACAACCATATATGATCATTATTAACTTATACTTGACTATTCAGTCCTTGTTGGAAATCTGATTTGATTGAGTTAAAGTAGAGATGAAGTATTTCCTAATACTTATATGCTTTGAGCAAAATATCACGACTCAATAAATATGCGTTACGATCTTCTCCCAAAGTTAGTTTTAGGTTCAGACAAGATAATTTTTTGTTTCTTTTAGTAATGTGTGACATGAGTCAATCTTTTTCATTTGCGCTCTTTAATGTACAGTCTCCCAAGAGATTAGGGATTCGGTAATTTTCCGCGATAGATTATCGAATCCTGGGAGCAAGAACTTGAGTTATACTTTTAAATTTCTAATGAAATGATAAAGATATAAAGCAACCAAATAGTTCGTATTTCTAAAGAACCAAGACAGGGTGAGCTGGCAACGAATTCGGTCAACGTACTAGTGATTTGTCGGGCATTGGTTCAGCGTTTACAACAAAAATATGTTGCCTTGTTGCCATATTGGCAGTTTGTATAAGTCGACTATTGACGACATTTTTATCGCTGCACCGGGCCTTGCATAATTTTTTAGCATAAAACCAGATAGACGAAAAAAAAATAATCGATCAGAAACGCAAACTTACATCTGATGGTGGTGATGGTTCATCGCCCCTCTGACGTTTCAATCTCCTTAGAGAGTTAGACTCAGCCGAGGCAACTAGTTGGCTCTTCTTTTTGCTCCGTTTTTTCGCCTCAGTCTCGGCGCCCAAAAGCGCGACCACCAGACAGAACGCAATTGTCACGTAGAAACGCATCGTGACCTTTTGCGCTGCTGCATAAAAAAATGTTTAAATATAATTGCAAGAACTGAAATCTACGCTAGTTGCTTATTTTACTGAAAAATGCTGAATAATAGATTCCCCATTAAGAAAAAACAACGTTTCAACAATATGAAAACGTTCACTCATTTATCGTTGTTTCCTTGATTTGATTGAAAACGCCCTGGTTTTATTATTAACAAATACACCTCGCTTTTTTCTTTGTAGATTTCAATTCTTTTGTGCATATCTACTCCTGAATAGTTTCATCGATCAAATAAAGGCAAAGAATACTTTTGTCTATCTTACTGAAATATCACAAAATTCCTACATTCTGCCCAACACAAGAAAACAAAACTATGCGAGACCGTCTGGTGCAGAATCAAATCGTTTGAAAAAGAGAATAATTTTGGCCGAAAATGTACAAAATGTTACTGAGAAAGCGTAACGATCTTTTAGAAGAAAATTGATACGAGAAAATTTAATATCAAATTAAAAGTAATTGTTAACTTTTTCAATTGAACGTCTCTTGCTCACGCACAACTTTCTTATGCATACAGAATATTACTGTCAACTGCAACCTTACGTTAAACTTATAGATTTATTAACAAACATTTAACTTTACCTGGTATTCGCCGCTGCGCCGGTAGAATGGAGTTCTTGTGTCCCTTTGTCTAATTACTGCTCCTGAGTGCGGGTGATGCGCGTGTCACGCCCCGCACTGAATAACCTGATCCTTTTCAACAGCTTACTAATCTTTCGTCTGCGTGCTTCAAACTTCGTCAGGCGGAACATAGACTTTATGCTCTTATAAGATATCAAATATTTCTTTTTTTTAGCAGAAGGTCTACAAGGTAAAAAGAATCCCTCACTTTACCCTATAAAGATAAAGTAAAATAATTTTGAAATTCCCAAACGTCCTCGCTTTTTACAGTGATGCCGCTCACCAACCGTGACCGCACGACATATGAAAAAATGTTTCCGAAAAACGCAATTATCTTTTCCTTGTAGGGGTGGAAATGAAGAGATAATATTACCGTGCTAAACAGGCCATGCAAATTGCAACGTTTGCAGAATTAGAATTTTTGCGTTTTTACCACTGAGGTGCAAAGAGGCGAAAAACAAACTCGAACGCGAGACAATGGATTTTCTGGTCACCTAAGAGGTCTACAAATATTTGCTCAAACATGTCAATTACTTTGTTCTTAATTAAGGCTTGTTGGTTATGTTTGTATTTAGAAAAAGGGATGTCGACGAAACATTAATCACGGCTTATTATCCGTGCTAGACATTGAAATTAAAATTTTAAGTCGCGTAGGAATAATTTTCGCATAAAGGAAATAAACCAAATGTTGACCCACTGGAAGGAGAAGCCTGAAGATTGATAAATGTTACCTATACAATAGAACTATAGCAATTGAATTCAAAATGGTATAACATACAGTATAAAAATATTTCATGTTTTGTATCTGTAAAAGTAGGCATCGTGGAAAACTACAGACGGCAAATATGGCTTACCGCATGACGTCAAAAACCCTGTCTGGATAATAAAAAAGGGTATGCATCAGTGGAAGAATTTATCGTCGTATTTTTGTAAATTTCAACAGAAATCACTACAAAGAACGCTAAATACCAATGAAAATGTCTCACTAGGTAAATTCAGCATACCATGAACCATCTAAATTCTACATGATACATTGAGTAAATTTGGCGTCAGATGGACAATGTCAAGTTATCGTTGCAAATAGAGTATTTTTTTTATCTTAAATTAGGCTCTTTGAGATATTCATTGGCTTCCGTGTCCATATATTTTTTATCATTGCTCCCTTTTGATTAGCATACACATGTACTAAAAATACGCAAAGTCTTTAGTAACTTAAATCAGTTGAAAACTGTTTATTATGGCGACAGTAGAAGCATTATTAAAACTGTAAGATAATGCGTGTTTCATACCAAATATTTGTATAGTTTTTAGACTAACTATAATGTAACGTAATTCGAATTATGTGATGCTGTCTGCCGCTAGATCCCATGCCGGTCATGCCGTGCCGGACATCCCATGCATTTCCGTGCTATATTCTTCGAACTAACAATCTGGACGGGTGGGATGGTCGTTTCATGTTCTGAGCTCAAATGCTTAAAAGCCACAATTAAGCATAATACCGTCGCAATTTCAAAATCTCATTTATATATGAAAACCTGGTGTTCTGTAAAAGCGATTTATTGATTACTTGTATACGACAGCGGTTTCCAAAGTGGGCGATTCGCTAAGTGCGCGCCGAAAATTCACAGAATTGTGTTAAACATAACTAATTTATGATTGAATATTCTACGTATTGTATTTATTGTAAATATTTTATTTCTTCTTATTCCAAATTCTGTTTGTATGAATCAATATATTCATTCTACATCTCTATATCGTTTACTTTCTGTTACGTAGTGTTTCCCTTGGTTGTTACGTAACAATAGAGGTAGACACCACTTGCTGAAGTTTATTCATCTACCGAAACGAGTTTAGCGAACATGAGTGATTTTGTTAGTATTTCAAAAGGAAAATCAGGCAGAGTTGAGGAAGAACTGCTGACCATTAGCCTTTATACTTTAGGCCTACTTGTTTACAAACTTTACAATGCAGAAGTGCACATTACCGATCACAAAACTGAGTTTTATTTGTAAAGCTAGCAATTTACCAATGCTCAATTTGTACTTTGAAACTTATTGATATCACCAAACATGGCAATATGTATGTGCAGATTGTGCCGATGCAATATAATTGATTCATCAGTTTTTACTGTGTTATTTGTGATACCGTGTTTTGGATTGAATAAAGTTTGAAAACTTTGGATAAAGTTGTTCGTTCCCTGGATACAGGCGAAATTGTGACGTAGCGGCAACGAGAATTCTTGAATCTACACATCTTTACTTGTTAAATAATGAAGTGCATTCGCGTGCATCCATCAACGTTTGTTAGCCTATCTAAACATACACCAGGACTCATAAAGAATTCAGTGAATATTAGAAACCTGATGGAATCATGTCCTCTGGTACCATGGTTGCCAGATCACGGACATGACGATGTAGGATCCTAATTCACGATGAATCCAAATAATTTAATATTTCTGTATATTCGTTCTAGTGAACAATGATCTTTTTATTACCATCAATGCCTTGGATTGCAAAATTGACGTCGATATGTTTCGAAACTAACAGACCGTGCAACTTGAAATTTGGGAATGTAAACGGCTAGGGAGTGGTTCACAATTTAATTTTCTAGCTAGCGTTGTCAAATTTCCGGAATGCGACGTGGAGACTAACCAACTACGGACTAAAAAAATCAAGAGTCTACCAAAAACTAAACGTTTACAAGTCCCCAATTTTACTATCCTTTTATCAGTAATAATATTCACGATCGATTGGATTTTACAAAAATGTTTGAAAAACAAATCTTGTGCGACATCAACAACTCGGATGTGATTATATACTTTGATGTTAGGCGAATTCCGAATGACGGGTTGACAAGCAAGGCGGCAAATTACAGATGCTTCCCGTCGCTTTCTCTAATTGGACAGAAATTACCTGGAACGTTGCAACGCATTAATATGATTCGTTTGCTGTCCTATTATGAAACAATGTCCTAACCTAATACTGATTAGAGAAACTATACAAATACCTATAACGTAAGCACGTAACTCCTGACGATTATTTCGAATCAGCAGTTTTCATGTCTGTAAACGAGTTGAAGTGAAGGAGGTTCAATTCTTATGTTTCGAGCTCAGCCTGCGACAAGGTGCGCAGTTTTTAATTTTGATGACGTCATAGCACAAAAAATAAACCGAAACCCTTAGAGCCCAAAGAAAATTTTGAAATAAATTAGGGCAATAGCTTCAATTGAAATTTAATCAAAAAGAAAAGCTATTTTTTTTAAAGAAGAAAAATTCTAAGAAGACAACAACAACAACATAATAACAAAACGATACATAGGTACACTTCGTGTCCAGAAATACCAACAAGAACAATCACAGCGTAATAACAAAACAATCCATATATACATTTTGTGTCCAAAAACTTCCCACTTTCGCTAAGCTCGAGATCAGTCGACTTTCGTTGAACACGAGATCCGCTGACAGCGGTCGCTGAACCGCTGCAGTTATTTTCAGTTTTAATCTTGTTTGCGTCGCCACACAAAACTTCAGATAGAAAAGCGAATCGCACACAGCATACAGGAAGTTTTAAAAAAAATAAAAAGTAATAGCCTTCTATTGACAAAAAAAATCTTTAACCACTGAAAATTTCAAAGCAATTGGTTCAGTAGATAATGACAAAACGATTTTTACTTAAGAAGAGAAGAAAAAATACTAACAAGAAGATTAGCAACAACAATATACTAACAAAAAGATCCATATGTACACTTCGTTTCCAACGAGAATAAGAATATAAAATGACAAAACGATCCATAGGTCCATTTCGTGTTCAATAACATTGTGCTCCCGCCCGACAAACTTACATCTGGTTAGCTTTCCAAGTTTCATTTGTGTCTAGGTTTGCTGCACAAACCTTTGTTGTAGCGTGGAGCAATGGTTCTTAACGCGGGACCACGCCCCCCTAGGAAGGCGTCAAATGCAAGGCCGCGTAGTTATTTGTCATTCCCCGAGGATATTTGTTTTGTTATTGTTCTGTCAAGGCAATCGCTATGTACACATTTGGAAGAAAGTCCGACACTTATACATCATTAGATCAGTCTACGAATGTTATCTGAAATATTGCTATTCCAATCTGAAATAATCGGCTCTGCGAATATTATCACAGATCACAGATTATTGTTTCAACCCGTCTGCCCCGAACACTTAAGTTAATAATTACATGGTATAGGTATCGGCGTTTTTCGTTGGTATCGGTGACAAAAGTGGTATCGGTACATCTCTATTTAGTATGCTTATTAATTGAAAACTTGTTTTCAATACTTTATTGAATTCAAGTCGAATCACTGATAATTTGTGACTCAAGTAGAGTCAAATTCAATTCGTTAGATAACGCAGAAAAATATATTCAAACATTACATCCCAAATTATTGTGGAGATTGAAGTAGCATAGTGACACAGTTTAACGTTCAATATATCCAAATAATGAATCTAGTACTCCAATAGCCAAAATCTTAAGTAAAGTTCCACGGGACAAATGATCATTTTACCGAACTGTTCATGGTATCGTGCAGCGCAGGACTCTTTGAGACTCAGCGCAACCAAAATGCAATAAATTACATTATCAAAAAGGTGCGTTTAATCTATATTCAAAAAGCCAGTTGAAGTTTTTTTTCATAAAATTCCTATTTTTAGTTTGCAATGATGAGAAAAGTTATAAAGAATACAACCAAGATAAATTCCTATTCTATTGATAATTATGTATGGGTTTGGAGTTTGCAAAGTAATCACATATATGATACAGTCTAAATTGTTTAAAAATTAAGACAGTCTGATTTTTTGGCACATAGTTTTGGCTACGTCGTTCACAGAGCTCCAAATATTTCGCGGTCCCTTTTTGAACACATAGTATCCCCCAATACATCCAAGAACAGAAATGATACCCATAGAAAACATTGTTTCTTTCTCGATCTTGATCATAATTGAATCCTTGGCAAGATATTCTTTTAAAATATCCGCGCCTTTATTTTTGTGAGGAAATGGAACATCTGGTACTGGAACGCCTAAAAACTTGCATAAAGGTTCCCATCCTTCGTGAAAATTATAAACCAGAAGTTTTTCAGGGGGTGCATTCTGTAAAATACGAAAGTTTGTTTTTGAAAAGTATTAAGACAGAACAATTATTCTGTAATTGTTACCATATTTTTCAGAATCTTAGAAATAATGATGTTGGCGAGCATAACTGTTTTCTATATAACAGTTATTGAATATTTTAATTCTTTTCAGGGGAGCGTATGAGCTCATCAAATATGTACGTCTTCGCGTAGATTAATTTTCTTCATAAATGAAGCGTTGCAATTAATGAAATAAGATTATAAATTTAGTGCAAATTTATCATGGAAAAAACGCAAGTATGACTCAAATTTAACGCTTCTGCAGATTCGACTTAGCTTTCAACGAAGAGTTCTCAATTAGTGGACGTAGCATTCAGGCAACGCAAAGACTTCTTTAGTTAAATCATCATCGTTTATAAAATTATCAAGCGCCAAATAGGTAAAATGTAGATTTTCTTAATGCCTCTTTAAAATGTCTAATATTTGTAAAATCTGATATGAAAACCATATAAATACAAACAATTATTTATTATAATCTGTACACAATATATCACTTACACAAAATACCCAAATAGATAGTTTTAAGAATAGCCTGAACTCAATCAAAAACCTGTTTTGGACCTCGCTCTGTGCATTGCAAATGCAGTTCTTTGTTACAAATTTGTCTCATTGAGATTTTGTTATTAAATTTAAGCTAATTCCAACATATAACTATTTTCAAAATATATGATTATATTACCTGAAGTACGTTTGCGTTGTGCGTTCTGTATTTTAATTTCATAAGTTGTTCGTTGAAGGATAATCGACTAAATGGCTTCCAGAGCAATGAATCTCTGAAACCGAAAATCACAGATCCTAGAAAAGTTGATGAGAGTTAAAGTATAGTACTGAGAATAAAGTACTGGGAATTTATTTTTAAATAGGCTACTTACCAATGAAATGATCGTAAATTATCTTGAGTGACCAATAGCCAGTTGGTGATAAAAGTGACATTATTTTCAACGCCCAGCTTGACTCATTGGCTGTAAACTGCTTGAAGAAACTTTTATACCACGAGTCTTCATCCCTGATACTCAGAATAATCTGTAGAAATAATAAATTTAATTCACTTGTCGTCAATGCAAACAGACGCAGTTCCTGATTTACATTTAGGTTATGAATTACATTACCTATTACATAGGTTATGAAACCCCTATGCAATCATCTCTATAAGATTCATTACAATGCTAGTGAGTCGAATCTTTGTATGCTTGGAAATATTATTGTTAAATTAGGCTACCTAATAATATCTATAAAGTTGTTAAACAAATTAACGACGATGTCGCTACATCCAATAAAGGAATAGTTTCCATAGCATTGTAGACTACAGAAACATTGAAAAAACAGTATCACGTTACTTTTGCTTCCGGGAAAGCTTTATGAATTTCCTCCCAAAAGTAGGACGGAGGCAGGTCAGAAACCGCGTCTACATTTTCGTACATTCTTTTGAAATCTTCGGTGGTCCATCCATCTCTGAAAATCTTTACCCAATCGTTGCCTAAAATCGTAGTGTTTTCCATGTAATCATAAACATTGAATCCTAATATTTGCAAAGCAACAGTCATTGTTTTAGTCCCAGTTTTGGGAAATCCAGCTGATATCACTTTCATACTGCTGACAGGCGTACTGAATTTTGCTAATGTTTGCTAAATCTACGCAGCCGCATGCTAGTCGATCCTGTCTTTGCCAAGTTAATGTTTAACTAAATTTGATCAATGTGAATTGAATAATGTCTACTTGGGCAACGTGCATAAACATTTTATATGGTGATAGCACATTTGAACCCACGTACATTTGAACCCATACATTTTCACCCGTATATCAGCGGGTTCAATCTATATACAGGTGCTAAAATCCATGGATTAGGGTTAGTATGGGTTCAAATATCTGTAGGTGCAAATTTTCATAGGTGCAATAGTATGCAGATGCAATTGTCGTAGGTTTAAATTACGGGTTCAAATGTAGTGGAACCATTTTATATAGATAATCAACCATTTGACTTGGGCTTTCTCAAAATACTAAAACGTCATAACTTGTTTATTTCACGATAGTCCGAGCCATTCCTCAATGATTATCAAAATTTAATAAAATTTATCTCAGTTCCACAATTGGTAAAGATATTTTCATGTATTGGTAATAAGTCTATGTACCGAATGGTACATATTATACGTTGTATAATAAAGACATTGTCTCGTTGAAAAGTCTCACAAAGTCGTGAGATATTAGGCAGTCGAGGCGATGCTGTTGCTACTCGTCTTTTAACAGCAGACGATAAGCTGTCGTCCACAAACGATCAAACAACAAGTCAAAATATACTTTCGTACCCCTAAAACTTCTCCTTCTTAGATGTGGAAAGTATGGCGACGTACTTTGTGATCGCCAGAACGACCAGTCAATAGACGCTATTATAGTCTGGCGCAGCTGTGTATTTGTACTAGATTTGCTTATTAGTGTGTGTTATATGACATATGTGACCTCAAAGCCCCCTTTTTTTCACATCTGAAAAGCAATTTGTAATAAATACTAACTGTATTGCCTATTGCTCAACTGCCTCTGACTTAGCTAGGACCTCATGCTAAATATGTCCCACTTGTCCCAAGGTTGTGAAAATTGGCGTTGATGTGAACTACACCTGGTTAAATTAAAGTTTTGTAACTACTGTTCATAAAAAAATATTTCCCAATTCAAAAATTTGGATGTCGATAGATGCATTACCGATACCGTTTTTATCATCGATCCGGCACCGATCCGATATCGACAAGCCGATATTTCAAAAAGCCGGTATTCCGATACTGATATTTTAATAATATCTAATTATCATTTGGGTTATAAGGAACTGACATGGATAAAATTGTTGTTTGCGAACTATTTTACAGTGATCATTAGTTCAGCTTGACGAACAAGTATTCTAGAATCTAGAACATAAGAATTTGATATTCGTGATTCAAAAGCATAATGGCGTGGCATTAGAATCAATGCTAACACTTTAAAGTACTTGACTCAGTTGCACTGTAATTTGCTTTGCAACCTAGTACTTCTGCAAAGTTTCGCTTTAACGCTTTTATCAAACAAATTATATTACCGGTAGTCCGTCCCTGCAGGCGTTTTGGTGCGCACAGGTGCAAAAAAGCGCAGTGTTTGATCTGCGTAATTTATAAAATTGTAGTTATAGGTTAGTATATTTGGTAATTATATTGTTTTACCACCTACATTTCATTCAACATGTGCTTCTTCCACTTATGTCTCATTCACAGGTGAATTTATGCACCTACATCTTATTCATCAAATGTTTTGTGCACTTACTGTCAATCATTATGCTATTTTGCCTATGTAAATGTCGAATGGGTAAAGGTAAAAATAGGAAACGGGAGAAATGGTAAATGTGGTACAGACGGTGTAAATAGAGAGAATATTGATATTCAGTACAAATGCAACGATATATACAAGTGGTTTGAGTGTACTACAAGTATCATCAGTGCAAGTGGTCCGAGTAATAAAAGGGGGGAAATGCATGTGACAAGTGGTACAAGAAACAACCCAAGCTGCTCCAGACACATGTGATATTTAAAATATTACTGATACTGACTTTTTTGAAACTCAGACGGCATGATGTATTACGGTTACTAAACACTGCATTGTATAGAGCTATAGGCTAATTGTTAATGTTACAATCAGATTTGAATTTATTCAATCGACAATATACTCATATATATCATATATATGCAAAGTCGTCTTGTCAATATCATTACGTACTCAGAACCGAACAATCGGATAATTTTTCAATTCAATACTAAGAAAAGCTGTAAAATGTTTTTTTTACTGTATGTTTATTCGAATTTTTTTATTGAAAAATATCTGTCATAAATAGTAATTGTATTCTTCAGTTTAATCGGGAATAGTTCATCTATAAACCAATTTCTACAGCCTCAAAATATTGCTCTATCTTTTATATAAAAGTGAAATTTTTCCCAAGTACATACAATCCATCAGAATTATTTTCCAATAAAAACTAGTTACCACTCCAATAAAAAAGTATTAGGGACAAGTGGGGCATGTAGAACGAGTGGGGAACACGGTACAAGTGGGGCACGTTAGACAAGTGGGACAAGCGAGACAAATGTGATACGTCGGACAAGTGGGACTCGTGAGACAAGTAACACATGTGAGACAAGTGGTAAACGTGAGACAAATGGCACACGTGGGACAAGTAAGACATGTGGTACAAGTGTTACACGTGTGACACGACGTTTTTGAGACACCCTATATGTGCTCAAATCCTGAAGTAGTCCAAGACTAGTGTGAACGTAGGTCGCTTCAGATCGTCGAGCCAGTGATCCGATTTATTATTCAAACAAAGTTCAATATCGTCGAAATGGCTGTACCGAAGTCAAAAATACTCCCTACGTATTGGTTTCAGAACTCGCTGTTGGAAAGGTTTGTCATAACACTTATTATTTCTCTCACTTCTTTGTAACAATTAGTTGAATCATATGACATGGTGGAGCGTAAATCAAAACGGGTGAATTTATATTTATAATTAAACGCAAACAGTTCTATGCAGCCAAGGTTACATGGTGCCTTGTCAACTAGTCTACCATCCGGCCAAAAACAATCATCACGCTTGACTGGCGCCGTAGCGCCGGTCCAAATAGTTCACCCCATCCCTTACTCGCCGCGAGTTGAAAATAATACCATTGATATTATACAAGGTGGTAGACGGGGTATGGACGTACAGTTGTTGATAAACAAACGAATTGGATGACCATTAGCATCGACACTTCTTGGGGGGGAAGAACTGATAATCATATGTAAAACTGCATCCGGACAAGCTCCTTATTGCATCTTTTCATTGTTGACGTATTATATTTACATTCTTAGTAAAAACCTATATATTCCGCTATCTTCTCAAGGTTAATCAGAATAGAATCGATCTAAGAGTTTTACATTGTATTCTGTATATATAATATTATCGGAACTGCAATAACGTCCATAAAGTGTTTCAATTGATTATACTATACTGCTGGTTATCGTCAGATAGACAACTTGAGACAAAATCCTCGTCGGTAAAATCTCGAGACAGACTCCACAAATCAAACCAACCAATCGACATTCAATGTGTTTCAAATCTAATCTAATCTCTTTAGACCCGTCAAACAAGACATATTTAAAAACAAATAACCGACAAGCGAACTGTCATATCTGCGATGGATAAAAGAGAATGAAGCTCCATTACGACATATTACAAAGGTGCTAGTGAACACTTTCACCAAAAGCTCTGAAACGACGATCCATATCCCACCGGTGTTTTATTTTGATCTACAAAAAATTGAAAAGTTCAGGAAAAGTAGCCCACTTGCTCTGAAGTTCTGAAAAGCAAATATCGATTATGCAAATACCTAAAAATACAAATGCAACAATATTCTGATGGTTTTGATTCTGGAAACCGAAAACTAATAAAAATAAAAGAGCGAATAGTACAATTTGTCAAATCTGCACTGGAGAAAATTGTTTTAAAACATTTGTTGGTGATCCACTGGTTCCAAAGCAATAACCTGGTACTCAATCACACTCCTACCAAACTGTCTTTGATATAGATAAACTGAATGTCCTCAAATACTTCTATACTTGACTATTCATACTGGTGTTGATAAACGAACACTAAATATATCTATTGAGCGTTTTGTTATTGCTTTTGTCAGTATTTTTTTTCTTGTCCTTTCTATTTAACTGCTAGACCCATTGCTTTGACATTTTTAGTGATTAAAGATTGTTGTTGTCGCTAGAAGGCTTTTTCATTTATTTATTTTCAAAAATTTTGTGGGCTTTATGGGATTCGTTTATTGTTGTGTGATAACGTCATCAAAATTAAGAATTGCGTGCACCTTGTGGCGGTTCCACGTTCGCGTTTGCTATCGTTGCGATCGGTACGTCGGGAATAAGAGTTTATAAATGGTCGGGAATACTACGGTGAGGTACCGGGAATATCGAAGACAACGAGTTCACTAAAGCCAGCTATTTGTTCGGATTAAAAAGATTGTGGCGTAGCAGTGATATCACTAGGTGACTAGACTATAAGCTGGTCGCAACACGCTCACGGAGTCAATCTGCTTGAGAAACTGTTCTCTGCTTATCTAAAGTCAATAAAAACGCATCGCGAGATTATAGAACGTATTTAATTGCTGGTCGACCGGAAGAAAGACAATCTAATCAAATAAATTATTTTCATTATTTCCACTAACATGTGCATCAGGATTATTTAAGAATGAAATTGCAATATTGAAAGAACAACACAAAATATGTTATCGTAAGGTAAATTAATATGTTAGAATTATTAAGAAAATTAAACAAGTTTATTCCATGATGCTTCAACTGCACTGCATAGAAAGTTCCAGATATTTGTTGGCCCCCAACTGAATAAACAGTATCCACCAATGCAACAAAGAACTAATATGGTAGCCAACGACAGCATCAATTCTTTTTCAATCTTGATCATGATCGGATCAGTGGCAAGATATTCGTCAACAAGATTTGCGCCTTTATTCTTGTGAGGAAATGGTACGTCAGGTACGGGGACCCCCAAAAACTTGCAAAGAGGTTCCCATCCTTGACGATAATTGTAAACCAGAAGTTTTTCAGGAGGTGCATTCTGTAAAAGACAAAGATAATGAGTAAAAAGTGTGGCGCAATGAAAAAATGTATGCTCGGAATCAACATGGCTGTAGTTGATGTTATAATATTATTAAAAATTTCAAAATATTTTTTTCTGTAAAATATTACAAACTACCCTTGTTTTTCCAAACCGGCAATATGCATTGAAGCTGAACACATATTTAATTGAATGGCAACCATTATCTTTGCATCCACGTACAATTGAACCCACGGACATTTGCACTCATTGACATTTGCACTCATTGACATTTGAACCAATGGACTTTTGAACTCATAGACAATTGCACCTACGCACATTTGCACCCGTATGCATTGCACTCATGGACATTGGCACTAATGGACATTTGCACCCACTGACATTTGCATTCACGTACATTTGCAACAACGAATATTTGTACCCATTTACATTTCCACGTGGACATACAATGCAGTTTACGGGTGTACCCGATAAAAGTGAAAATCAAAAAGCAACAGTTTTTACTTACGTTTTTGAGAATATTATTGCGGAAGCGAGTGTATTTTACAGAACGCAACGTTTTGGCGTAGTTTCACGGCGTTGCAAGGGGTATTTCAATGAAAAATGCAAAAAAAACAGAAAAAAAAATTAATTTAAAACAAGCCCTCGTTTTAAAACAAGATGTTTGTTTTAGAATTGATAAAAAACAAAACCCTAGCTGTCACCGATTGAATGTTGAAACCTTTGCCGATCTGTCGGTTCATGCCGATTTGGAGGTTTAGCAGAGAATACAAAATTGTATGATTACTGACTTGCGTCTTTACGTGGAGAAATTGAATGATATTTGGCGACCATATTTCAATTTCTTGAGGCTCGTTCAAGATGTTTTCGAGAGTTGGTAGTAAATTATGACCATGACGGAATCTATCTTCTGTGGCCCATAAGATTATGTATCAAATTTTGTTTGCCATTGTAGATCGCAATTTCCAAAATCCTGCTTGTCTAGCAAATCTGTAGAATAGACAGGTTGTGGAATATTTTTCAATTAAATGTATTTGTATAGTTAAAATGTCGCGATTATGGCATTGATTTTTTAATCAAATCCATTTCCAGCAACTGTCTTATCTTCCTTTCACTAACGGATTTTGTAAAGTAAACTGGAAAATAATATAGGCATATCGAGAATATATTTGTTTCAAATGTGTGGCGCAAAAGACCCAAATTGTTAAAAACGCCATACGCTCGAATACTACACACATTCCACGATAGTCGCGCTGTTATACACTTCCGAGTCTTTTTTCTTCCGCACGGCTCCATTCGATTTCATAGTGATTGCATAATTTGCACAGTTGAAGCATTAATATTTGTTATGAATGAAACATTTATCGAATTCACTTTAAAAATAACTTGAGTGGAAACAGTTTTAGTATACCTGGATTACGTGTGAGTTGTGCTTTCTAAATTTTAATTTTAGAAGTAGCTCGTTTAGAGTCACTCGTCTGAATGGCTTCCAGAACAATGAATCTCTAAGACCAAATATTACCCGACCTGAAAAATATCAAAATGTTTCGTAAAATTACCGCATGAAAAAAGAAAATACAAATTCATATTCTAATTCTAGAATTGAAAAAAGTCTCATGATTAGGGAGGGCTTCATGGTTATTTTCCCAATGTGCTATTTTCAGAGCAGTAAAGATGATTTTGGTCTCTCTTTGACACAAAACAGAATAAATATTTGCTTCGCACAAACCAATGTTACAAATTCGTTTGAACTGAAATGTTGCAAATTTTTTATTTTTTCTGGGTATATACATAAGTGGTTTAATATTGGCAACAACTAAAACACGTTAAACGAAATGATGTAATATACGTATTCCTTACCAACACAATGATCCGATAGAATATTGAATGACAAATATCCAGAAGGTGTTAGGAGTGACATTAATTTCAAAGTCCAGCTCGATTCAACCGATCGCATCTGCGTTACTAAACTCTTAAACCATGAATCTTCATCCCTGGTAGTCAAAATTATCTGCAAATGTTAAAATTGTGCTTCAAATGTATTTATATCAATATATATCATATTTCGTAATCCCAATTTAAACTCATGCAGTCGATCTCGAATTTGATGCACCGCCACCAACCATCAGCGTTGCTTGCTCGTTGCTATTAACTGTATCTATAAATCTTTCCCCTTATTATAACCTCCATTATTAAGAAAATGTTTCGCTAGAATTCTGTTGTAGCCTATTACAAATTAGATGTTACTTTTGCGTCCGGAAAGGCTTTATGAAGTTCTTCCCAGAAATAGCATGGTGGTACGTCAGACACAGCATCCACATTTTCGTACATTCTTCGAAAATCTTCAGTGGTGCCGCCAGCTTTAAATATCTTTTCCCAATCTTTGCCTAAAATTGTACTGTTTTCCATGTAATCGTAAACATTAAATCCCAATGTTTTTAAAGCAACAGTCATAGTCTTGGTTCCAGTTTTTGGAAAGCCGGCTGATATAACCTTCATATTGCTGCTTCGTGTTTGGAATGTCTCATGCTTGCCGAGTAACATACATATAGTCAGCAAAGCAGCAAATGCCAAGTTGATGATTAACCAATATAGGTCAATGCGAAGATAAATATTCAGTCCAGTGCGCCGTGACTGTGCAGTACGGTGACCGTACATTTGAACCCACGTACATTTCAACCCATGTGTATATCCGCGGGTTCAATCTATATGCCGGTGCTGAAATGGGTTGTTAGGGTATCCGCAAAACAAAAAAAATGTCCAATAGTATAGTCCAATAGTATGTCCAAGGTGCAATAGTATGCAGGTGCAATTGTCGTGGGTTCAAATGTACGGGGGTTCAAATGTGATGGAACCGTGCAGAACACTCCCAAGTGGCATACATTTCAAAAATAAATAAAATTGGGCTTCGCACGAATGTCGTGATAATCGGAGAACCCGATCTAATTTTTAGAGGAATACCTTCGGCATGGTTTTTTGAAATGACCTGTTGTGAGTAAAAGAACCTTTTTGTAAAATTTTGAATCCCATTACTAGCCACAATCGTAATGTTTTCCACCTAATCATAAACAGTTAATCTAAGCATTTGCAAAGTTACTGCTAAGCTTTTGTCCCAGTTGATGGAATGTGTTAATTACTTATCGATCTTGATGGGTAAGTATGTTGATAGGTATTTGTTTGTTTGTCTGTCTGTTATACACTTTCGTATGTTACGCGATATTTCACGAGAGCGAGGTTGAATCTGCTCCAAATTTTCCATGTGCATTCATCATATCTCGGACCAAAAGCCTATTGATTTTGGATAAATTATGTCATATGATTAGCGAGTTATAATTTAGTTATAATTTTTTTTTTTTGGGGGGGGGGGGGGGTCTCCGATCGTTATAGCAGGGGTCTCAAACTCAATTTACCTGGGGGCCGCCGAGACAGAGCCTTAGTGAGTCCGGGCCGCATCCGGTTTTTCACAATAAAAGCATTAATTAAACTTAAAAGGGTAAATCTATTTCCCTGTTTTTCTATACGCCAAACATGTCAAAAACATAAATGTAAGTAATTCCGCGATTGACCTTTCCCCGAGCATCTACATCCTTGTTTATTCCGTAACATGGGCTAATCAACAAGATGCAAAAAATGGCGTAACAATAGACTTTTTCGCAAACGCTCAGACACTTGTCACTCAGAAAGATTTTCAGGCATGTTTGTAAACATTACCTCGTTTTTGCATGCTATTTGTTAGTTTTGGGTTGTGTTTCAGAAATTCAAGTATGAATCAAAGAACTCAATGATCATTCTGATTGCTTGGGCGTCGTAGCTTAATTGCCGTAATCAAAAATTAGGCTAGAAATAGCTGTGATAGACTAGGTTAAACTTCTCTACCGGTACCGTACTCTTGAAAAACAGGTTGTTGAATGTTTTGAATCAAAATGATGACGTGAAACATATACCCCAGTTTATAGGGTTCAACTCGCGAAGCCACCTCTAAAATCAGCACCAAGAATTTGCAATGGTAAGGTATAAAAAAATTTCTTCGGGGTCAAAGGTCCATCGAATATCATGCCTACAGGTACGGTACTAGTAGGTTACCGTACCGCATATTCCTTCCGGGGGTAGATTACAAAATATTTTGTTTTGCTCTACTTGTCCTGATCATATATTAAATGCATCAATCATTCTAACTGAGCTGAGTTACTTACGGGCCGCACTAACATTAAACTTTCATACCAAGGCGGGGGCCGCGAAATATCGTCCTGCGGGCCGCAATTGGCCCGCGGGCCGCGAGTTTGGGACCCCTGCGTTATAGTCATTGAACGAGCGTTTGATAAGATTGATCTCCTATATGGATACTTTGCGAAAAAAATGTTTGATGGTCTAATGATCTCCTGATTATATTTTTAAATTTGATATAAAATATCCACATATATTCATGAAAATATTTCTGGTTTCAAAAATTCCATATATATAAAATTTTTGAATTGTAATCACACTAGGACTTGGTATTCATTACAATGCTGAAATTTGAGAAGATTAAAAATCGTATGTTGACTTTGCTTCCTTAACATCCATTAATTTGTTTTCAGTTTGGGGGAAGCTAGCTGTTATCACTTCAGTATTGCTGTTTTATGTACGAAACTCGCAAACCGTACCACGTATAGTTATTGCATGGACAATTGCAATGTTTACCTCTAATCACTTATTATCACCCTAGTCAATTAAAATGGGAATTTTAACTATGCGACTACCTATAACCAGTGGTGGGATTCAATTTTTTTGTCTTTTATTTATTTCAAAATTTTGCGTGAATTCTATGAAATTTGATATTTCGTCTAAAATTTTGCTGTATTATTTTTTTATCCATGGGAACACGGATTTTAGTCAGTGTGATGACTGGCTGTACATTTTGATTCTGCAAAATTCTGGCTACTGGAAATTCAGAACTTTTTTGAGGGTACCGGTAGCGTCAAAGGTACCGGTAAAGACTGATTCGCTCTGGTCTAACGTGTCCATATATTTGTGCGTAGCTCTCTTGTTATTTTTCTCATTTCTTCGTTACCATTAGTTGAATCATCTGACACGATGAAACGTCAATCAAAACGGGTGAATTTATAATTAGACGCAAACAGTTCTAGGCAACCAAGGTGACATGAGAAAAAAAGAGCCAAGTGCTTCCGTTTTGTTGTCAACTAGTCCATTAATCGGCCGAAAACAATCATCACGCTTGACTGGTGCCGTAGTTCATCCCATTCCTTAAACGCCGCACGTTAAAAATAACGAATTGATATCATATATACAAAATTAGGGGGCGAATTGGATGACAAATAGCATGGACACTTCTTGGGAGGGGAGAACTGATAGTCATAAATATATATGTAAAAAAATCAAATCCCGACAAATTCAATGTTGCAAAATGATTGACTTGAACGGTAAATCATTCAATTCCATTGACGTTGTAGGGAATCTCGATTTATCAATAATAACGGGTCCAGCTGCAATTCCACGCAAGTTTGGAACCGAACAATTCAACTACCAATCTTTATTCAACTCTAGCCATTCATTTCTAGGAATACCAAATAAACCTAATTCGTGTGAAAAGAGTGAAAAACAAAATTAATTAATCCTAATATTGCACATATCAATTTCGTAAAATATTTTTATTGTTTACCTATTATATTCACATTCTTTGTGATAACCCATATATCCAGCTATATTCTCAAGGTTAAACCTGGTAAGCAATTAGGTTTTAGGAAAAATGATATTATTATAACACCCTGGAACTCTAGATAGAATAGATCTAAGGTTATAGTCAGGTTGACAACTTGGGGACAAATCCTTCGTCTCTTCCTGTGTAAATGAACCACATTTCCCCAAATAATTCTCTATATTTGATTATTCAACCTGGTATTGATAAACAAAGGGTATGCTGGACACAAAATAAATCCATTGATCGTTTTGTTATTGTTGTTGTCATTATTTTTTTTCTTGTCTTTTCTATTTTACCTGCTAGAGCTAGACCATTTGCTTGAAATTTTTTGTGAATAAAGATTGTTGTCGTCACTAGAAGGCTTTTTCATTTATTTATCTCCAAAATTTCTGTAGGCTTTATGGCAGTGGTTCTTAAACTTTTTCGAGCGCGACCCAAATCTGAGTTTTATGAATACTCGCGACCCAATCCTAAATAACGCAAAATGTGTTTTTAATGTTAGTACAGTTTGACTCAAATACAGACAACTATTTATTAGAAACAGTCCATTGACTCAGTGAGATTGATGAAACTGAAATTTCCTTTTCATTATATCTTCAATACACAGCTCTATTTTACTTAACGCAATACGCAAGTTGTCACGGGTATCGAGGCGATTGCGAGCTTAGTTTTGATAACCGTCAGTGCCAAATATCCTCGCTCGCACAAGTGCCTTGTCGCGAATTGTAGCAGAAAAGGCGTCCGCTGTCCGTCGCAAACACGACATCCTAGCTGGCCTTCGGTATCTCTCGCAATATACAACTTTTTACTCATCAAATGTGCACACACTGCTTCGTTCGGGGTAAATGGTGCCTCGAGATGAAGTCACATTTTCTCTAGATATTGAATAATCTAATGTCGAGAAGCGAGCTTTTTTATTGCGTCGTCTATTACAATTTACATTACCAAAAAGACACCCATTTTTGGTTATTTTAATCCACTAAGACGACATTCCACGCGGTCAACACAACGACAAGCGACGTGCATGGTTACCGATACCATAAAAATAATACACGTGACTGGCATATCAGAATTGTGATGTAACAATGAGCTCAAGACAGTTCTTTCCGTGAATGAAATTTTATATTTCATTATTTGCAAATACCCCAGAGTTTAAAAGCTAAATTGAAACATTGGGAAAGCTGAAAATTCGTCCTTCTTCTCTTAGATTGCCCTTGCATTGACGACCTGGTCGCGAACCATTTTTAAACCTTCCGCGACCCATGTTTGGGTCGCGACCCATACTTTAAGAACCACTGCTTTGTGGGATTCATTTATTGTTATGTGATAACCTCATCAAAATTAAAAGCCGTACCTTGTGGCGGTTCCGCGTTCTCAATTGTTGCGATATGGTGGTACGTAAATGTCGGAAATACTACAGTAAGGTATTGTGGAAGACAACGAGATCACTAAAGCCAGCTAATTTTCTCGTATTGAAATCATTGTGGCATTTATGTGCATTAGGATTATTTACGAATGAAATTGCAATATTAGAAAAACAACATAAAATTTAATTAAATTCTGTCGAATATCGAAAGACGTGAAGTATATTCATATCGTATGATTGTTTACAATATCATTATAAAGGTTTATTTAGGAATTAGCAAGAAAATTAGACAAGTTTATTCCATGATGCTTCAACTGCGCTGCATAGAAAGTTCCAGATATTCGTTGGCCCCCAACTGAATAAACAGTATCCACCAATGCAACAAAGAACTAATATGGTAGCCAACGACAGCATCAATTCTTTTTCAATCTTGATCATGATCGGATCAGTGGCAAGATATTCGTCAACAAGATTTGCGCCTTTATTCTTGTGAGGAAATGGTACGTCAGGTACGGGGACCCCCAAAAACTTGCAAAGAGGTTCCCATCCTTGACGATAATTGTAAACCAG